GCGGCGCGAAGCCACACCCTCGCCTCCCTCGTAGAATGGAGGGAGGTAGGGCGCACGTGCGCTGCGCGTCTCAGCCAATGGGGAGCAGGACCGCGGGCGCAGAGATGCGCTCCGATAAGAAACTGAAACCTAGAAACGCGTCCAAATGGAGCGTTTTTACGGAACGCCGTAAAATGCTGCCCCTGCGTTATATCCTTCTAAAAATGGTTGATTTAGTGGTTTTCGATTACGCTCAGCAAGTTTCTAATTGGAAGCACATGTGTATTTTCATTAGATAAAACGCAAATTAACAAATTTGACTTAATTAACCGACTGATCGTTACGATTAACCCTTTAGCCGTATAACTCGCCTGCACAAACCGTATAAGTGTATCTTTCACGTTTTTTTTATACAAATCTGTAACTGGTTGGTAAAATTTAGTGTTATCTTGTACCAGAAAAATCTGTAAAAGTACCGACGGTTGCTATTCGTTACACCACACTCCTTGTAGCTGTAGCAAAGAGTGTTAGAGAACTCTAGTTTGTACATCTAAAGGACGGAACAATGAAGGGACAACATATAAGGGGACAGCCCTTATATGTCAGGATATAAACGCGGGGAGAACACAATCACACAGATGTCTCCTTTGAGACGCCTATGTGTTTGTGTTACACATGTTGCCAAGTAGCTCAAGTCCGAGCGATGTGTGCGTTTCTGTGTGTCGAAAAAAAAAAAAAAAAGAGGGGGGAGGGGCGCATGAAAAAAGAGAAGAAACAAAAATGTCAGAAATATCGCGAAAAAACACCAACAACAAATAAAAGCATATTACCGATCACTACATGCGAGTTGTTTCGAGTCAGGCGTCCAAATAAATATGTGGAAAAAGATTACAAAGCTACACGAAGTGCTTGAGGTGGTCGACCCAGCAGGCATCTTCCTCTCCCTTCTATGTTCGAGCGACCCAGCAGGCATCTTCCCTTCCCTTCTCTGTTCTAGCAAACGAAGCGTCGGCCAGTCCCTGCCGCGTGTGCGGTCAGTTTGACCCGAGGCCATCGGACCCAGTTCCACGACGACTCGCAGGTGTGGGGGGGGCCTAGGTGTTATCGAACGGCACCGACGTGGGGGAGGGATATCGCGGCTACACAGACGGACCGATCGGCCGACGGACGCACGGCGTCGTGACTCGGCGCACGGGTGCACGCGGGCCGCCGCTCGGGGCGTGCGCCCGACCGGCCCGTGCTCGCCAGCGTCGTCGTCGACCGCCGGCGCTCTGGGTCACGATTCCCGTGCTGCACGCCCGGCGCGACGGCTCCGCGAGACGACCGCCCCTTCGCGCGCTCGGCGATGCTTCGAGCCACGCTGAAAGTCGTTTGCGGGACGTTCTCGTTTGTGCACCTTCCCTTTCGCGTATTGGCACGACGCCATGTCATTAATTAGCACGAACGTCTAGGTGTCCGACGGAGAAGGACTAAAAGCGGCTAATTGCATCACCCCGTTATCTTTAGATGTATTCGCTTTGACGGTTGTAGGAACGTGAATGCGGTCTTTATACATGTGTGTTTCGAGGTCGGGGATGAGTTTCGCGAAACTTGTGCGAGATACACGCTTCGTTTCTCGAACACTAAGAGCTCGTATATTAAAATCGTCACCCAGCGACTCGTGAGGACCATGAATAAGAAGCTTTGGTTTTGTAGAATGATCGGACCTTACATGAACAGATGGCGCTTCTGAATTGTACCGTGGACGGCAGGGGCTTTGTGCTCACCCTCTTTAAAAATCACTTCACAAAAGCTAAAAGAAAAAAAAAAATGGAATGCCACATTTTTGAAACAACAGTAGGTAGTTTCACCGAATATTCGTTGCTACGTTTAGCAACTCTGCCTGGCCGTCTTTACCCAAGTTCCCGACAGAAGGGGAAATCGATGCGGGAGTGTTGAAATTTGAGTAAATCGCTTAACACGACGGGAAAATTAATGAATTGTGAAGTTTAGGTAACCCTTCTCATGCCATAAAAAATTTTAACTTTTATAATATTTGTTTCTCCGTGGAGAGAAAAAAAAAAAAGAAAGAAAGAAGAAGAAGATGAAGTTGATAATTTCGGTTTAAAAGCCGAGGTCAAAATGCACACGGTAGCGGTGTCGCTTTTTCCTGGCGGAGTCGCTTATTTTCCACTTTACCTCGAGCAGCGTCTCTTTTCGCTCTCGTGTCTGGTTTTTGCTTTCGCCATCCGGCCCACCCTAGGATGATCCCTGTCTTTAGACCGTACTACCCATTGCTTCGCGTTAACGCTGTTTCGCTTCTCGCTTCGGGCGATCGAAATTCGCACCTATCAAACGTTCTTTCAGGTTAGTCCGTTGGGGAATCGGTGGCCGAGTGGTCTATACTCCGTTTCCCCTTATCTTGTACCGCAGCGAAGGCTAGAAGCGCGAGCTCATAGCGTTGGCAGCTGCCCTTGGTGCACGAGAGCTTGTGCCGCCGAGGTGTGCCAAAGAGCGAGGAGCTCGCGCTTGTAGCCTTTCCTGCGGTACAACACAAGGTGAAATAGAGTATAGCGCACTCCAGCTCGGAGCGCTGCAGAACCCAGGGATGTTGGGCTCGAGCCCCACCCCTGCCCGTTTCGATGTGGATGAGCATCGTACCGGCGTGCGGTCGTGTACCACTACTGCTTGATGCACTAAAACTAAGGAGAAAGGTCCCACTTCGGGGACCTTTCTCCTTAGTTTTAGGAAAGCCACGGTAACAGGGGTTTCTCGAGGAATAAAAATTAGGGGGAAGGTGCTTAAATTTTCGGGGGAGGGGGGGGGGGGGGGGGGGGTAGGGGACATTGAGAATAGAGGAGTCGTTACGAATTAAGGGGGTGCCTTCAGAAAAACATAGAGGGGGGGGGCGGGGTGTGCGTACAGCCCCCCCCCCCTCCCTCCCCCCAGCGCGTGTGTAGGGAAATAATGCACGGTAACGTAAACATCCTGAAACATCGGGTAAATTCCGAGATTGCTGCGTAAAATTTACACAGTTTATGCATTAGGTATCACGCATGAGATTCTACAGGTTGGTTTCGACACCCTCAGCTGTGTGCTGGTCATACACTTTCGCAGTCCATTTCTCTCGAAGTGCCCCACTTCATCTCAAGTTTACCAAACAAACAAAAAAAAAAAAAAAAAAAAAAAAAAAGGCGGCACGACAGATTAGCGGGCCGTGCCAAAACCTCTTTCTCCTTTTTTTTTTTTATTTCATTCTGGATTCGAGCCGCTGACAAGACACTCCCGGTCGCTCGAAGCCTCGAAGCCTCTTGGCAGCCCCTCCCCCGAGCTGGAGCCCTGGCTCGCGTCCAAGCGGGGAGGTTTACGTCTCAAGCGCGGCGGTGGAACCGCGCGGACCCCTGCAGTGTTGTGTCCCCGTTCCGGCCGACACGGCTAGTTCGTTGAACCTCCGCGGTTGCGCGAGCCCCCTCTCCCCTCAAGTTCTAATTGATCGTCCCCCCCCTCCCCCCCCCCCCCCTCGTGTTCGCGCGCCACCGCGTCGCTTCCGAGGGCTCGTGTGTATTGTCGCCGCTGCTTGCTGCTGCCGCCGAGCCGTGCGGCCAACGGAAGCGAGCCCCCCTTTAAATAGGGCCCAGTGGAACACGCGCCGTGGGCTGTTGCAGACCGGGGAACCCGCAGCACTACCGTTGTTTGTTTGGGACCTGTCAGGCGGGGCTTCCGCTTGCCGGGGGCTCTTGACCTTTTTTTTATTTGGGGGGGCTCTTCTGTGTCCCGAAGCCGACGTAATTGGGGAGTTGGACTGCGCGAGTGTCCTGGCTGGCGTTGTGCCTAATTCCGCTTCAATTGGCCGTCGGGCAGAACGTCCGGGATTGGGCTACGAGGAGGAAGGGGAAAAGGGCGAGGAGGTGGAACGGCCAAGGTTATTGCTTGGCAGAGGCGGGGATTTGTTTGTTCTTTGGCGGTCGAGCTCTTTCCGATTGTTGTCGAACGCCGTTCTCTTCTTGGAGCTCATACGAGCGGAGCGTGTGGGTATGTTGTGATTGGGGACAAAGGGCACTTCCTGCTGTCTTACACCAATGAAATAGGGATGAACTAGAAAGGCCCAACCAAAAACTTTGAAGTCCTGTTTTTTGTGTGTGTATGTGTGTGCGTGTGTATCACGATTTGAGCTCTCCGGCGTAATCGCCTCTCTCAGCCATGCGACGCTCTTTTTTGTTTTTTCTTGTTTTGTACGATGTTTGTTAGTGACCTCTCTGGATAGCACCTCAGCTAGGAATGCTGCGATGAGATATCTTATCGTACTACGGGTAAAAGCCCTCTCCTCCTATAAAGAAGTTCACGTTGACTGGGCGGCAAGAGTTATAGGGCTTGCGTGGAGCGAAGGTGTTTAGCTCTTATCTTTGTCACAGTCCGTGACCTTTGAAATTTATCGAAGGGACTGGAGATTTGCCGTGCCTGGCAGCGTTGTTGCGCAAATGCGCTTGTTTTGCTTTTTATTCTTACCGTGGCATCCTGATCGGACTTTATAAATGAGATCACCTCGCGAATGATTTAGGTTTTCAAAGGGTGTTCGCGCACCACTTCTGTACGAAGTTATTGTTTCGTGAGCAAATTATTCGGTCTGATTTGGGGGGGGGGGGGGGGGGGGCACATTTGATTTTTTTTGCAGTCTATTTTTTCATTATGCAGCGTGTTATTGAAAAGGGCCTTTTCCAAGTTCCTTTGTGGCAGTCTTCCTGTACGTTGCCGCCGTCAGTGATGAAACTACATACTCTTAGTAGGGCAGTTCTGCCTTTCTTCTATTTGCGTATTTTTAAATTTGACACAACAATGTAAAAAGAAGAATAAAAAAAAAAACATATTAAATGAAAGCTTTACCAGAGTCCTAGCGATTTTTGAAAGCGGTTTACATATAATGTACGCGAAAGCTGTGAAACAGTTCGGGCTACGGAGTTCGTATATCTGTATGCAGCTGTGGATAGAAACAATGAAATGCCCATGGCTTCTCTCTCAAACGCGCGTTTTCTTCTCTCTTCAGATGCCGGTGGTCTCACTATGTTGGTGACGGCGGCGGGCTGCAGTTGACGACGATGACGTCCGTAAGATTGCTCAATTCATCAGACCTCTTTGGGGCGTCGCACCACCTGAACGGGACCTACCACTCGAGTGACCGTTCCAGAACGCCCAACGTAAGCCTGCTGAATGGGTGGATGGATGGGACCGGAGCCCTTTTTGCGCCACCTAGTCTAGAAACGTGTACAGTTACAGCTCCCGCACTGCCTTCATCTGACCTTACCAGCGTCCTCACCTGCCCAACACCCTATTCCCTTACCTTATCACCTCAGCTATCCTCTCATTTATCAGCGTGACGTCACAAACTGTGCGTTCTGCCGGCGCGGCAGGAAGAGTTGTGCTCGCCCAAAGTATTTTGCCTTCGCAGGCCGTTTGCTCGACGCAAACACCATGGCACTCGTTAGACCAGTTTTAGCGTATCGTACATTTATAAATCGAAATTGGTATCGGGTTTTCGCGTTGCCGCTTTAAAACACGCTTTGAACCGTGACAGGCGGCCACAAATTTTTGTCTCGGCGGAAGTTTTGGTGCTCTCGAAACGGTGCCATGTAACTTCATGGTGCCAGCAAACGGCGAATCTGCATCGCTCTTGCATTCGTTTACTAAATTCGGTAGACTGCGTTCCTATAATTATTTTAGGAAAAAAAAAATACAAAGGAGAACGAGAAGAAAGAAAGGGTTATATATTTTCCGCTTCGCGGTTACTCATCGGGCCAAATATGCGCCAAGTATGGCGATAAATAATCTTAAAATGGGTTATTGAGTGGTACAGTTATTCTGTAAAAATACTAAGGGATGAGTTTTCGTTCAATCAAGAGTTACGAATGATTTTTTTTTTAAGCGAGGATGTAAGGTCTCTGCTTTCTTTCATATCAAACGTGATTAACATCAGTGCGGTCCATTGGGGGTGTCCAATTAAATAAATCAGCTTGAGTGTTTATTTTTTCCGTCTTTTTTTTTTTTTTATTTGTTTTTTTCGGTATCTTCGGGAGTATCCACGTCGAGGTACTTGGTTTTAGTGAACCCTCCCTGAAAAACTTATACTTTATGACATAAGTTTATCTTTTGATATTTCCAAAAAGTAAGTTCACCATTTATTCGCACTGTCGTTATTATTTACAATACAGTTCCCGATGAAATAAACCAGAACACATAGTTACTTTGTCGCTCTGGTTAGTTGAACCGAGTGACGTTTATGAATTTAATGTATGAAAAACCTACTTGTACAGATAAAGGTAATGTTCTTAGATAAAAGGTGCGCTCTGTGCTTACAGGTAGCGGCGATCTATGCGGGGCAGAAGAGTCGGCAGACTGAAGTGACGGTGCAGGTTTAAGGACACGGTAGCATTGCGGCAGAAACCTGAACGTGTCATTGCATTTTAATTTTCTTTTTAGGAGAGGGGATCCAAAAGTAGCCGGAATGAATTTCTGGAGGGCGGTTCGTTCCTAGTACCAACTTCCGCCGCTAGCAGCGCTTAGCGGCGCCCACTCCTAGAGTAACGGAACCGCTAAAGTTCTAGCGGCATGTTGTAAATTTTTTCTTCAAGCGCTTCAAAGTCGTTCCTCGTTTTTTTGCAGTGTCTGGTTTAACGATTTTCCACATCCGCAAAACGTTTTCCTTTCAGGAGGTTTTTCACAGGCGAACAGAAAAAAAGCTACTCAGGGTGAGGTACTGTGAATAGGAAAGGGTGAGGTACTGTGAATAGGAAAGGTGGAGAAGCGGTGTCATGCCACTGGTCGTTCAAAACCTGTTGCACTGACAGGGCATTATGCGCTGGGGCATTGTAGTGAAACCACAACTCCCCCTTTCCCACAAATCAGGGCGTTTCTGCCTCACTGAGTTGCTCAAGCGTCGCAAGACTCCCAGGAAAACCACTTGATCAACAATTTCACCTGGCGGAGCAAACTCGGAGTGAACAATGTTTGAATTTTCTTGGAGGTTTTCATCAGTTGAGGGTCGCCCCTAACGAACTTGGTCTAAAGCACGGTGGTCTAAAGTCCCTTGATAATTCTTTTACAAGTACCGACAACCAATCCAAATGACAAAGTACATTCCGCTGGAACAGGCATCCAGTTCAAACCTCTGCTGTGTGCCGCCATTCGATTCCTAAAACCTGTACCGTCACGCAGTCGGCGCTTCAAAGAATGTCGCTACTTGTAGGAAGCTCTTATCTGGGAACTTTACCTTGGTCGTCGATCAATAATTCACCGGCCTCGAAGCGAGACAACCTCTTGTAGACCTGCGATTTCTTCATTGCAACTTCTTTGTAGGCTATTTGAAGCATTACGAGAGTTTCCGCCGCCGTTTTCTCGCCGTTAGGGGGGACACTATCCAGAAGAAACAATTTCTGCAAAAAAAGTTTATTTTGAAAAATGCCATATTTACTTCATTCCCAGAAAGTTTCATTAGTTTACGCTGCATAGTTATTTTTTTTTTTATAAATTATTTTCGGTTTACCGGTGCTATGGAAAAGCTAAGTGTTGGAGCACTTTGAACGCATTTTTCTCCATTCCACTTTTTGGCATACATTTCACTGTAGGAAAACTATCGTTTTGTTATTACGTAACTTGGATTCATTTTATGAGTTTTTCTGGAGTGAAATTTTAAGGAGAAGATAGCTATGAGGTTGTATTTTTTTATTTTTGTCATTTTTCATGCTCAAGAACTAAAAATTTGGACAAACAATAAAAGTCTAAAAAAAAAAACAAGAAAAAAAAAAAAAACAGGAATTGTGTTTATGTGGTTTTCTTTTGTCATGAAAGATGGTATAATATAAAAATATAGCTCCATAGCTATTTGCTATGAACTGTCCTAAAGCAATATAACACATGAAAACGACACATTTATAAGTAATTTCAAAACGAGAGTTTTCCTAAGGAGACACGCCCATTTTCATCTTTGAACATTTTCAATTAGTTTTTTTATGTACTTCACCCAGGTTAACAAAATTTGACAGACATGTTCTCAACACCAACAAAAACAGGCCCTGTAAATGTCATTGTCAAATGTCACGCTGTTCCTTACAATGAGACATTGCGAAAAACGAAAAATTATTTTGATGCGCACGGAAAAAAACAACAACAACAACAACATGCCGCTATAATTTTAGCAGACGACACCGGTCGGCAAACTATACTCGGAAGGGGCAGAGGGAAGGGGTAGAGTAACTGTAAATGCTCCCTTTGCAGAGCCTATACAGTTACTCTAGGAAGGGGTGCCGCTAAGCGCTGCTAGCGAGGAAAGCTGCAAGGTACTACGAATGGCGCCTGCCCTCCAGAAATTCATTCCAGTTACTTTTGGGTCCCCCCTCGTATGCACACAACTGCACTCGCTTGGTGGTCCTCCCTGTGCTTTTATAGTATAGTCTTTTATAGCTACAACTCACCAGAGGCTTTAGTGTGACCACCGGTGTTCCACTAAGGTTATTTTGCTTTCCCATGGACAAAAAGCAATTTTCAGCGGAGAATTTTCTTTCTGTTTTCCCTTAAACTTTGCTACCCATGGTCACCTCCTAATTTTGAACTTGTTCGTCGTGGTTTTTATGACGCGTGGACTCTTCTTGTGCTATTTTAGCGTACAGTTCAACCATTAAACCACTTTGAAACGCCGGGATTAATGATACCTACATTTAACACTTAATTTTTTTTTTTGTTTTTTACGAAATAGTGTTTTTTTAGTCGAATTACACAAGCTACCTAGCTGCTCCTCATCCGAAGCGACGTGGACGGGGTGTTCTTTTCTGTGCGCAGAATGGACTGGAAGTGATCGAGACGAGCCGCACCGTTCGGGTCCACCAGGAAAAGCCTCACCTGGTGAGCCTCGGCGGCGGGAGGCTCAGCACCTCGGTCACCATACACCCCCTACCCGAAGGTGAACATCTTTGGTGAAAGTTTCGTCCTCTCGGTGCCGTGCGCACCTCTTTATACTATGCTAAAAAAAATTCCAGCTTTCGCTCGCGAATCTTTTAAGGAGTTGACGAAACCTCTTTGTTAAGCTGCCCCGACGTACAGCGCCAGCCACTCTTTGAGACTGTTAGGAAACGTCAGGTACGAACATGGCGTTCACCTCATGCAGCGTCCCGGATGCCTCCCCGTAATCTTGTTGCGTTGGCTTCGCTGCATGAACGGGGAGCATCGTGGCGAAGGCGATTTGTTTTTGCGCGGGGGAGGGGGGCGTTTGGGGTCGGGGACAGGGATCGTTCGGTCGGTCGATTGGTCGGATTTTTTTGTCGGTAGATCGTTTCGATAACTCCGATAATTATATCCGGTAGTCTGTAGATGCCTTTGTACATCTACTATATCGCTCTCGGGTATCGTTATCGGAGGTATCGAAACGATTTACTGCACTCTCCATTGATATTTTTTTCTCGAAACGGGAATGGTAAGTATATCCTTTTTACTAGTTATTTTGTTAGCATTGCATACTCTTACGACGTACGCGATTTTTAATTTTTCGCGTGTTATAACTGAGAGAAAATAAAGTTGCAGGAAGAATTTTATAACGTCGCAAATATCAATAGCAGCTCTGTGTTTGGCAGCAAGGAAACAAATATATAGTTTTTTTTTTGGTTTAATTTCTCGTGTCTGGGGTGGTGAAAATCTTGCCAATCTATGTCATGTATGCCGGGTCCGGTTTGCAGTGCATTACAAAGACACGGACACGGCAGTGCACTTGGCACCAGAATCGGCATTTGTATCCCCCCCAAGGGAAGATTGACCCGTCTCTGTCTAAACATGTAAAGTCTATTTTGCTGTTTTTGTTCTGCCTTTTTGTCATGTGTTGTGATGTCCCGGTAGAAAATTAAAGCCTGAAAGATACACTTTGCATGTTTTTACCCTGGGTGCAATTCTTTCAAGGTCGGCTTCACGGCACTGCATGTGTCCCAGCCGGTTGGCACTTGCATGATGATGGTATTCAAGTCTTCGCCAACTGTAATTTGAGTTACTAGTTGTGAAAAACAAACCAGTCTTTCATAGCGTAAATCTTCAACACTGACCATGCTTTTTAGCTGTACATATTTTTGTCCCCCGAACGTCCCATTATAATTTTTGTTGTCACATGCTAGTTGAACTTGACATCACAAAGGGTGCCTTCACGCTCAAGCGCAGCTGTGAATAGGAGCAATGAAATAACTTACTGCAGTCTGCTCGTGGCTCATTGACCACACCCTTTTGGTTACTACAATACATTCCCCGAGGAACGAATCCCTCTGCCTCGTATTTGTATCCCAATGCAGAGCGCAGGTTCGTCTGCTTCTTGCACAGGGGTTGTGATGATATCACTATGCTTAAATCTTATTGGCTGATTGAAAAAAATAAATAGTGGGTAGACCTCAAGGCATTTAGCATTGAGGTCTACCCGCTATCCTTCCAGTCAATTCTAATCTGAGCTCGGCGTCACTCTGACGTCACCTCAACCCCTGCACCCTTTCTGGCTGTGCCTCAACCCTTTCTGGCTGTGCCACAATGGGCGACGAACCCGAGTTTGCGGGCAAGCAACCAAGATGGTGGGTTCTTTTGCAGGCAAGACACGCATCGGCCGGTCCGACGCGCCGACGCTGCAGGACATTGTGGTTCAGGGTCCTGGTGTGGAGGCTGAGCACTGCTACATCCAAAACGAGTCTGGCAAGGTGACCCTCTACCCCGTGGCAAAGGTGATCTCCATCGATGGCATGACAGTCACCGAGCCATCCAGACTGCACCAGGGTACAGCAAACTTTTCGAAATCTGTTCTTAATTTTCTGTACCGAATCAGTGCGGGGTAAAGGCTTGTTACAACACAAGCGACTGCTTTCGACGCGACCGAGTGCATTATGACCAGTTGTGACATCTTACGACGAGAGAACGCACTGGCATGCTGGTGCCGTATATGAGATGTCCCTGGAGTGTGTTCTCCCGTTTTTAAGAGATCAGAAGAGGTTGGAACATATTCGGTCGTAAGCCGTCGCAGGCGTGTGAACGACCTTTAAGGTTATGGAAGTAAGCCATTACGCATTCTTTTGGTCAGCTTTGTGGTTAGTACAGTAGTGTATACAGACCACAAAACAACTCAGGAACAGCAGGAGCGACTGAAAAATCTCATCCATTATCCCCTCGGGAAATTAGATGAGATTTTTCAAAATCCCCTTCTTATCAATGACGTGTGTATCGAGTGCACCAGAAAGTAATATATTTATTTAAAATTGCATTAGAGAAAGGTTTCTAAAAGTACGGGAATTAATTATTTCAAGCTTAGTTTCCCTAGCTCTTACCGGTTATGTTAAGCTTAGAATATTTATGTATCAAAGAATTCCATATATGTATTCTAAACCTTCTTAAAGCCAGAATTTCACTAGGAGAGTTAGGTTCTTTCACTGCCACTCTCCTATTTTTCTAAGAAGCCCTTCCTGAGCTATATTCTATTTGGTAATCTCAGATTACAGTAGCTAACACTAGAGGGCAGTCTGGTCTTACATGATTTATCGGTGTCACCATCCTACACTTCCAAACATTTCTTGATTATCAGTGGGTTTTTGGTAGTGAGAGCATGATGGTATGTTGTAACTAAAAATAAAAAAAAAGCTCTGCACTTTTTTTTTGTGTATCATCTTTTCTTTTTTGTTTTTGGAAATTTGTACTGGGGCAACATAAAGGCTATTGTTTTGCTGCTTGGCTGGATATATTAGGAAGAAAATTACTCTGAGACTTGCCATGCACATTTTGTGCCTGCTAGTATGATTTGGCAGAATATCTTTGCTTGAACTTCCCACAATATTATGTCACAAACTGTTAAATGTGAAGAGAGGGAGAGGTCAGTTCCATAGGAAGCAAGGGTTCCACAAGGGGGGATAAAATGCATGGTATATTGTGCTAAGGGAATGCTACTCAAAAAGTTCTGCATGTTGTTTACTGATGTGTGTTATTCACTATTTATTTATATAGGGAGATGCATATTAGAATTTCCAAGAGGTGCTATTACATGGGACATGTTACTTTAAAAAAAAAAAAAACTGCATTAAGTGAAGAAAATTACCACCAAATATATGCGACGGTTAAGAAGTTTGTAGTTGCGTAGGGAGCATTAATAGTCACATGTTAAATGTCTGCTTGAGGGCAGAGTCTTAAAGTCACATTAGTCGTTCCATGTTTCTGTTCCACATCGCCAAACGAGGAAGATGGCTGTGAGTATTTTACGAGTGACTTCTGAGCACCTCCAGCACTTGAGTGTTTTCTTTTTTGAGACATGCCTTTGTAGTAGAGATGGCTTTGCAACAATCTGCACCTCCCTTCTAATTTCTGGGTCAGCTTGCTTGAAACACATGACGCAGCCAATAATACACCTTTCTTTGCACATTATTTTGTTAGAGATATTTGTAAACCTAGCACGTCGAGATGGGTAGCTATAATGAGGCTGCTTATTTGTGTCCTTATTCCATTCTCATTGCTTTGAACAAGCTGACCCTCAAGCCTGAATAATTCGTTTTTTTTTTTTTTTTTTTGTGGTTTATTTTTATTTTTTTCCCCTCATTTTTGCATTTTACACATTTTGGAATGACTTTGTTCTTTTATTCTGCCACATCGTTTTGTTTATAGCATGGTAGTAGTGTCCCATCATCTACCACTGTGTATCCCGCTATTTTTCCAGCAATAGATCCTTTTCAAAATTTCGAAATGATGCCCAGATTATGTGCGGCCACCATTAGTTGGTCATGCACTGTGAGCATGCATCGGACACAAGCGCTTCGTCATCATTCGGAGTGTACTCGGGTCAGAACGCATTCCACACGAGTGCTGCGTAAGTGCTCGGCGCGAACTCGGAACCAATCACGGGCTTCACGCCGCAAGCGACGAGACCAATTAATGTCGGCTGCGCATAATCTATACACCAACTCATGTTTACAAACAAACCTGAGCGCCCCTAACGGACGCCACCGGCGCCGCGCATGCGCGATGGGGGTGTGGGCAAGAAGTTCGCCGTCGCCCATAAACAAACCATTGGAACGCGATGTTGTCGGCGTCGGTGTGAGTCCCCCTGCCTTTTTTCGCGTTCGAATTGTTGATTCAACGTCTTCCGGGTGATGTCTGACTGAGTGGCGTCAGCGAAATTACCGAGGTTCGTTACACCGCAAAACTTTGCGTGAATAATGTGACATGTGGCGATTCATTCCGCTTGGACGTTGCAGTATGTACGCTAAAGCCTGATTCGCATGATGCGATTTCGCTCGCAATTTTCAGTCGCGACGCCGCTCGGGCTGCAAAAGCGTGAACCGTAGCTGAGATAGTCGACGTCGATACTGAAAATCGCAAGCAGAATCGGACCAAGTGAATTAGGCCTAAGAAGTCGGTGATGGTTACTGGTAACAATGATCAACACCTGCTTGTATCTACTGTTTACATCGAGTCTGCTTACCAACCTTCAAATTTAAGTCTTTTGAGGCCTGCACTTACTTCTTATCGCAAGCACCGGACCAACAATTGGTCTACGAGCCGGCGTCGCCTAAGAGAGCAGACGACAAGCAGAAACGTTTGAAAGAGCAGACGACAGCTCGAACGATCAGGCGGCCGTTTGAACTTGAAGGCGCACTAAACGTAGTCCGCAGGTGGTCCGCACAACTTGACGGTTTTCTGGCGTTCATGTTGGAATAAAACAAATAAATCTGATGACCATGAGTATCCGTGAATTCAACCCAAAGTGCTTCTCTCCCAAGCAATCGTTGTCCGACGGCGTCTGCATTTCCCTTTTCACGGCACATATCCATATTCTCAGACGAACCGAGCACGTGAAAACTGACCTTCAAACCTTTCTCGACACTTTTGGTACGGCCCCAGTCGCGGCGTTTTGACGAGAAGGCATGTTTTTGTCTGGTTCCTTTCAAAACAACGTAGGAATACACGTCTGGCGTGGGGACTTCTGCCCACAGTCCCAGACCGGAAGTGCGACCGACGCGCCACCACCGCGCCGTGACGTAACAGAGATGAGTTTGTGTATACTTCATTTCAGAAGTTCGGGAAGGGTCTGTTTTGTAGAGGTCACCACATGAAGTGAAAAGTTTCTTTCTAGCATTTATTCTACTCTATGGTCTTAATTTAAATTGGGTAGGCTCTATCTAGGTCCTTCGTTAATTTCACAATAAAAAAAAAAGTTGTGACATTAATGTTTGGTTTTGAAAGCTTGTATTCAAGAAAAATGATTTCTTACCATTCAGCACTCTTCTCAGGTCTTAGTGTCATTCATGTCTTCTAGTTTGGATATTTTTTTGGTCAGTGCCAATTTGTTAGAACACACTAATTAGGTAATAGACCCTTTTCAAAATTCCATCGGGCAACGTTGGCGGTTGCCATTTCTTGGTCACGGAGCGTGTGATGGGGTCGGACTCCTCGCCAAATGCTGATGCAGCTCCTAAAGTGCTTGCTCAAGCAAGGGTGAACTCGGATAATTGTCGCAGTAGCCACTAGATGGCGGACACTTTTGAAAGGGATCTATTGAAAGTTATATATCTCGGAAAAAATATTACTTGCATTGTACCATTCTGGCTTTTTCGTGCAATGCGTGAACTTTAAAGATGTTAATTTCTTTTCTTTTCTAAGACAAATAAAGAGCAGCAATATAACGGATAAAGTGGCATTCATCTTGCCTAAAAACATCTTTTTTGCACATTTTTTATTTTTAAATTTACTTCTAGATCTTTGGAAAATGAGGAAGTAAAAAAATAAGATGCTAAGTTGAGCAAAAGATGGGCTCGCTGAGAGAAGACATGTGTCTAATATTTATTCTGTCCTTTGTTGTTTAGGCAACATTTTTCTCTGGGGATATGCCCTCCCTGTGTTTTCTCTTTGATCTCTCTCTCGCCCTCTGTCTTACTTTTTCTTGATGAAGCTGGTGCACTTTTTCTTCCTCGTAGGCTGCATGATCTGCATAGGGAGGTCCAATTTCTTCCGGTTCAACCACCCCGAAGAAGCACAGAATCTGAAAGAGCTGCTTCCTAATTCGAGGCTATCTGCGAGTGCCACAGGCTTTCGTCCGGGTATGTGTGTGCTTTGTCTACTGTTTTTCAGTTGTTCGCTTTATCGAACCACGATGCATAGCACCAATTGGCATGTATGTATTGGATGTTCTCCTTAGTGGGTAATTTTAAAGGCGAAATCAAAGGTTCCCTATAGGCGATAGGTTGTTTATCTCTGGCCTTCATTATTTTTGGTTGAAGACAATGGTGGTAGTGGGAGTTAATAGATTTGAAGGCTTAGTTGTAATGAATGCGATGGAACAAAACTTTTCTGATATGGAAGACTGTTACATGAAAACAACAAAGATCAAACAACCTGTAACTAACAGCCGCACACAGCAGGGGTCCGTATTATTTTGTGGGGTATGGATACAAGTTCCATGGGTGCACGTTTTGTCAGTACAGTTTGACGTTAAGGGGAAGCTTTTGCAAAGCTTCGTCTACAACATATTTATTTTACTAAGTGTATTGGATTGGATGACTGGCTTCATTTTGTTTGCTGGAAGTATACTGGAACTATATATCGAAGCCACATAGATAGCTCTCGTAGAACAAACCCAAATTTTCGAGCTCTAATAAACCTATTGCTATATAACCCAAGCATCAAGGAGAATGCAGCGATTGGTGTTCTACACGCTGCACGTGCTGGCGTCAGCAGTGGTAACTTTTCTAAAGCAAATACCTAAAACAAATTGCATGTTGCACGCGCGTTTGTCAACGCTGTATTTTGGTTATTTACTTCAAATCTTTTATACGGGAAAGGCGTGCGTGTGTGGTGCGTGGAACACCAATCCCTGCATTCTCACACGGAAAGAATAAAAACACGGAAAATATACGAGGGACAGACACACACAATTATTTCATCTGTGTGTTTGTCCCTCGTATATTTTCTGTGTTTCTATTCTTCGTGAATTCCGTGTGAACTGTACTCCATCCAACGCGCTCTGCTACGTGTACCCTGCATTCTCCTTGATGCTTGGGTAATATAGCAATAGGTTTATTCTAGGATTCCAGACAGAGCATGTTACGTGTGGTCACCCCTTAATTCGCTGCTCTCTGCTCAAGGACAATGGATTTTAACCCTAGGTTCGAGTTTATGCCAGCCTTGTTGGAATTACCGAGGGGGCAAGATATACAGTCAAACCTCATTATATCGAACCCGGTTAATTCAAACTATTGTTTGTATCATACTATTTCTGAACAGACTAGTAGCTGCCATGAAAAGGCATAGCGAAAAATGCGGTTACATTGAACGAAAATTGAAGCATCTCCTGACAGATCTAACTCCCAAGAGCGTCGTTTTGCTCTGCAAGCTGGCTTTTCCGCAACGTGGGTGGCGGCGTGGGGGGAAAGCTAGCTTGCAGAGCAAGCTGGTTTTTTGTTTTCTTCCAGGCGGCCGCGTCGACTGCCCGGAAGAAAAAAAAAAATAATTCTCTTTTGCGGAGGGAGTGGGGAGAGGGTGAGCGGTGAGACCTTGAAATACCAAGAAGTAGCCACTGGAATAGCTGCGTGGCGTGTCCCTCATGACGTACAGACGCTACTTTGAGGGTAGACAACTTTTCTAAATTTGACGTGCTTGTTTGTTGTTAAATTCACTAAAACTTTTATATCGAATTACCCGCTATACCGAACTGGTAGACGGTTTTTCGCGAGTTCGATATAAACGGGTTTGACTATGCTGCCGTTCGGAATCCGGCGGCCGAGGTGATGCGCACAAAAAAATACTTTTTGGCGAGATGTTGCAAGATTTTTCAGTGAAGCGAACTGTCGACAAAATGTTGCAGTGTTGCCAGAACACTCTGTCGATTAAAACGTCGATGGACAAATTGATTGCTTCAAGGTGAACAGGGGCTGTAGCACTTAACAGAAGTAACATGGTGCACCATAAGAGAAGAATCTTGCAGGTCTGCACACAGGTCCATTCAAACTCTGTTATCTCTCGTTCAGTCAAGGGTTAAGACATTGTGCAGAAACCTATCCTCTCCAATCAGAGTCCAGTGGGATCCCCACCGAATACAGGTGACGACGCACTCAAGTAATCAGAGGCTAGGTAATTGGCCTCGCCAAGAGCCAAGAGGTTGGGCCCTGCGGCTCTGAATTCAAGTACCAAAACACAAGCCTTGGTTTGTTTAGGAAGCGGTGAAGGTATACTAATTCCGACCCTGGCTAGTATAGCTAAAACATGCCTCGCCAATAAACCTACTCTCACTACAGAGTGTGGGCAGGTGTATTAAAGAAAACAGACATGCCAGTCGCAGAAAGGAGTATCATGAGCGCATGGTTTGCAAGCATGACTTACAACATCAACGCTCAAAACTACCGTGGGTGTTCTGCTGGTTCTGTTTGTCCTCTTCCTTCATGTTTCCCAGTGACTCACATTTGGCCTAACAACAAAAATATGTTAAATTTTCTGTCTATAGTTTTTCTGTCATGCAGAAAATTCCAAATGAGCAGGTGGATAGGCTATAACAATATAAACATTCAAGCAGTAACTCCCCCCGAAAGTAGGCCAATTCCTCTCTTGAATTGATGTAACGCCAGATTAAAGCAAAAAGATATCGTTATTATTCCTTCATAGAGTGCACAACACCACTCACTGCCTGCCATCACTACGTAACGGCAATAGGGAGTATGCACTGGCGGCCATAGCTGTGTGCGCGAATGCTGAGCGCGTGCTGACGGCGAGCTTCCACAGTTATTTTGCGACAAGCATTCCGCACCATCAAGAGTGCCGGTCTTAGCAGCCTATCTGAGCTCGTTCTGAGCATACGTTCTAAACAGCACCCACAAATATGGCGTCCAGTGAATACTTCCTATAAGGCTCATTCGAACATGTTGCACCAACTGCGTTGCACTGCGTTGCATCGTGCAGCACAGCGCCTCCCCATCGGTTCGTCGTAAGGGTTGCCGTAGCAACAACTCGGCGCAAGCAGTTTTAACGCAGTCAAACACAACTTCATGATCGAGCCTTTAGGGCTTATCATTGACAGAAGCCAACTCGCGCAGTGACTGAACCTCCGAGCCGATTCCGCGGCACCCCGTCCTCGGGCGCCTTCGACCCCCTGGACAACAGCGTGGACTTTGTTGAAAAGGTGTCAAAGTTCGAGTTCCTGGCCCACAACCGGTCCCCGCCGGTCACCTCTTCCGAGAACCAGCGGTGGTTCGTGCGGGATGGCATCCGCATCCCCGCAGCCGCCCGGTTCACGCCGACCTCTCCCCGGTCGTCGTCGCCCAAGTCGCCCAAGTCTCCGCGCGTGGCGGCACTTTCGGGCCACGGGAGTCCCCTGACGGCCGGGCGGTGCACACCCACATCGCCCCGGCTGGGGACGGGCCACCGGGTGGCGAGCCACGAGGACATCCGCGCCTGCGAGGTGGAACTGGCGCAGCAGCATCGCAGGGTACGTAGCCCTGGAAACGGGGTTAGATTTGGGGAGAGGGGTGCACCTAGGCCTCCCAGGGGCGACTTTTTTAAAGGTAAAAACGACATACACCAGCTTCTTTTAGAAGAAGTATGTGGTTTTGGATGTGATGGCGATTATTAGGTAAACAAAATATATCTGGGCAATGCTTTGCCCGTGGAGTCACGTCTGTCCGTGACTCATAAATTCGCCCTGCCTGGAATGGCTGCTTTCTGTAAAAGAAGTTATGCCAGAAGGCTGAGGTTGAAGTAGAGGATGGGCACATCTAATTTCTTTTTGTTTGGAGGCAGCGCAGCGTGCCGTTACTACAATAAAATACCGAACAAGCACCCACCAAAAAGTTGGAGGAAATTGTGAAAAAATAGGGATGGGTGCTTGTTAACGCCTTGCCTACTAATAACCGGTGTCACTCGTGCCACCCTTATGGACCATAAAGCCTGACCACAAGTGTAACTCGTGTTTCGGTTTTGGCACTTGTTTATCACACTTTCTGGCGGATTGCAAAGCCTCCCCTGTTGCTCCATTCACCTTGGGTTGTTTGCTCATTTGTTTTGCTGTTTGGTAGAGACAAACGCTCCATTTAGCCGAAGAAAAAGAAAACAGTTGCTTGTAAGTCTCACGGGTGGTCTTGGTCCTGCAGTAGAGCCAAAATGGATGACGACCATCTGCCATAGATAGCCACAGGGGCTGGATTTAGGGCAGGTTTTTGGGTCGTCACGTGTGTGTCCCCAGATGCGGGTGATGGAAGGTGTTAGTAAAAATGTGGAAACTAGGAGATATTAAGTGAGCTCCTAATTATTTTTTTAATTTTTGCGATTAACTTAGTTGGCTATTTAGCTTTAAATGTGGCTTTAAGGGGCCCTGCAATGACTTTTTGACTGGTTTTTAATTTGCACTGAACCTGGGCGTACTGAACGTAGTAACTTAGTGAAACTTTTCTTTTTGCGAAACTCGCTTTATTTTAAAAGTTATAGGCAATTTAGAATTACAAAAACAAGCAAAAAATAACCTCCTTCATGACGTCATAGGTCCTGGCTTGACTGGCCGTGAACTGGAGGAGGAATAGTGAGCTCATCGAGCGCTCACGGCCGCCGCACTCTGTGTCGACGGTGCCGGAGGGCGCCACTAAAGCATGTTCTGGATAGGCTGTATGCAGCGGGCAGCCAAAGCGGCTTTCATTGCGTTTGCTGCGCGATTAAACACTAATTCGGCATGACACTTCATTGGCCACAAACGACAGCAAACACGGGGTAAAGATCAGTTCCGAATGGGAGCCACTTCGCGCTGCCATACCGCGAAACGGCCAAACCGCAAGACAAAGCCTCTCGCCAAAGGCCTTTCGGAACGCTCGGAGCCGGTCGGATCCTCCTGTCCAAACGACTGCAGCGCCACCGCATACATCCGGGATTTTTCCGTGTCGGCGCCTTATCCCACTACTCCTTTCTAGTATGCGCCGCCTTTCCACCGCTTGGCGGCGAGTATGTTGACGGGTCATTTCTTGTTTCCGTACTTTATAAACTGCATTTCTTTCTTTTTTTCATCTATAATAGTGAACAAAAACTACTTTTATAAATAATTGAAACGGTTCGCGCCACTTATATTTTGTATTTCGACCAAAAAGAAGTTTTTAGTGGCTCTGACCAGTAGTAAGCCCAGGACCAAAGACGTCACATTTTGCGCGCTTTCGGTACCGCGGGTCGCCCTCGTCGGTGGAGGAGGTTTCCGTGTCGTCCTGTTAAAATATGGCGCACTGATATTTAGCTACTCTTAAAGTGCCCGCTGGCCTGCCCGAACCCCAAGAGACGTGGAAACAGCATAAAAGGTAGACGCTTAAATATGATTGCAGGGCCCCTTTAAGCCTACCCTCTTGCCAAAATGTGAGATCTTTTGTATAGGGGCCTAGACAGTGGTAAGTCGGTCAATCTAGAAACGGAATTAAAAAAAAATGTGAAGCAGCAATTGGGCTCGGTTAGTACGACTGCTAATCCAGAGCCTTATGCATTAGCGGTTGAAAGTAAACATTTCAGAGAAATCTTTCTGCTTGGGAAAACAATAAATAAAGCACGACATTAGGGACTACCCAGATACACTCCAGTACAATACCCATCTAAGTTAAAACCGGCTGGGTTGGGCTTGAAACTCATTTATGTTGAGTAGCTTTCGCTCTTGGCTCTACATGCTTCCAAATTATGGTACATGGCTGCACAATCTCTCAGTTGTTTTATTGATGATGTCATACGAGTTACTTGTGGGAGCTCCAGACACTAATGTTTTTGTGCTTTTGAGATCATCAATTGTCACAATCTGCAATGGAACACTCTTGTTGTCAATATTGACAATTGTGGACTTTTCTAGAACTATTTAAAAAGACCTGGAAAATGATGCATACTTACAAGAGGTAAAGTGCTGTGGAACATAGGTAAAGACAGGTGATAAGATCCCATTCTTTTAGAAGGTGGTTAACTTGCAAAATGTAAGCAGATGCTGATCTTGCATTTGGGCTAACTCTGTCAGAGCTCTCTCTGTAGCACTTCTGGCGATTTTGGGAATTTTCGCCATAGTTAGTGAGGGTGTTTCAGATCAGTAAACAAAGGCGTTGCGGTATAATTATGTGAATACTAAAGAACTTCAACTTTTCGAGTCTGTGCTGGGCTGTTACCTAACTTAAAACCTTCTTCCTTTACGCTTCCCCCCGTACATGTCCAGGCTGTGACCGAGCGACTTCGCGACCAGGAGCAAGAGCGTCAGGAGCGCCAGCGCTTGGAAGAGATCCTGACCCTGTGCGCCGAGTACGAGCGCAAGGCCCACACGTCCACTTCTTCCTCCGACGCCAAGAAGAAGAATCCCAAGGAGAGTCCGCCTTCGTCGGACTCGGGAACCGAAGACGTCACCTCCCCTCCCGGATCCGGCAGCGATTCTTCGGCCCCCGACGACAGCAGCAAGACGTCCGAGTCGTCCGTCACGAGCGCGTCCACCGAAGACGACAGCAATGAGAAGGCCGGGCTGGAGCGAAATGACACCGTCCGCAGGAACAAGCAGCTTCCCGAACGTCCAAATCCCACAAAACCTCCGGTTGCGCCAACGCCGGCTGCCTCCGATGGCCTCCCTCCATTGGCAACCTCGAAGCTGACCAACCAGTCTGGGACGAACTTCGGAACAGGAGGCAGCTCTGTCGGTGCAGCCGAAGTTCTGATTGTGGTTCCGACCCCTGTGCACCATCCGAACCGCATCAAGACCAATGGTTCTTTGGCAGAATTGGATGGGAAACGAGCCGGAAGGCTGGCGCCAGACGGATCTGGCTCGGGCGATGGTATGCTCACAGTGGTGAGCAAGAAGGCCAATGCCACGTCGTCTGAAGATGAACTCACTAACATCCTTGGCGGTGAGTGTTTGAGCCACGGAATATAGTTAGGAGCTTATGAACAGGTCCACAGGAATGATGTGGCAGGTAACTATAAACTAGGGTAACTCCAAATCTGAGACCTCCCCCCCCCCCCCCCCCCCCCCCCCCCACCTCAAATTATCACTACTCATTAAAATTGGAAAAAAAAAATCTTTTTTTTTATTATACCTTAATATAATGTTGTTGCCCAAATAGGTTGGAGGATTTGTTACTTTGCGGCTTTTGTTACCTACTAGTGAATGGCTTTTGAAGTTACCATGATGTCTTGTAAATGAGCCTTGTCTGAAGCCAGCTAACAAAGCAGAGAGGAGGTTTGACATCCATTTGGCCTGCAGTAGGAGTGAACTGCTGTCTTCTTGAGAGCTTTTTTTGTCAAACAGTCATGGATTTGGAAAAGAGAGGGGCATATATAATGTCTTTGTTGACAGCTTGTACAACAGATATGTTTCTTCTGAGTCTCTTTTACACATATTTGGTTATGTTATGTTTAGCTCTTCCAGTAGCTTTCAGGCTTCCAATAAATTTTGCACGGCGCCTCATTTCCGAATGTATTAGTTTTGAAGGTGCTCTGCTAGGAATATTATCAGTAACGCTTTGATTGGAGCACAAAGAGATTTTAATGTGCCACTGCTTAAGGCATAATTAACTGAAGCTTGAAACATGGCAATTGTGGTAAATGACAGCTTGCAAGAACAGGGTAGAAGCAGAGGCACTAACGCGATACACCAGCATCCTTCTGTTATTCGCCATGGTCAATGTTTAGTGACTGGTCCAACTTACCAGATTGTTAAAATTAAGATATGTTTACTAGAAGTTTGATGTAATACAAACTAATAGCAGCGTGCAAAAAATACATGGACAAAGGGAAGAATGAACAGGACAAGCGCCAAACTTCCCTTTGTCCATTCAGCCCTTTGTGTATATTTTTGTGCGCTGCTACCAGTTTGTAATCATGAACTAACTTGCCTGAATCGCTAGATTGTTTGGTGTAATGTCACACATGATCGTAAGAAGAAAAAGCCTACGACAGAGTTTCCAGACAAAGCTTGAGGCTCTGTTAGAATGATCTCTGAAAAATCTACACTTAGTTCAATGCGATGTCAGGAGTCACAACGTGTTACCCAATCTCATATCAGTGAAGCTGGCACTTGAGATAGACCTTCTAGCAAAGCGTGCAGCACTGTCCGTGGCTCCGAGAGAAGTGGCAGGAACAGCCTATGTGAAACTGGTTGTGGCATACGACGAAGGTGACCTTGAGGTGGCCAAGGGTACGCAGGGACGGGGCAGGCGAGCAACTGCGCTACTCTTTCTCTCTTAGCTTTCTTTAGTGTCACATGACAGATGCTGCAGGGGCTAAGAGGAGCACACGGGGCATTCCTATTCATTCCGTGCAATGCGTGCTAGTGCGGAGCCTCTTGGAATTTCGCAACAAGTCTATTGCAGTTGGGGAGTGTGAAACAGTCTGAGCAGTTCTGCATGGACTCTTGCAGTCGGCGGTTCTTCCAAGTTGAGCCCACGGCCCGAGAAGACGGCACCTGCCCCTCCCTTGGAGAAGGCGCCCATGCCCTCAGTAGCCTACCCGCAGTCTCCCCGCACCCGCATCCGCACCGTGGCTACTGTGGAGAGGTCGCCCGAGGTCTATGAGAACCATCACGCCTGGAAGGACCTGGCCATCCAGCAGCTTGAGGAGGTGCAGCTGCAACCACCCAGGAAGCTCCCAGAGCGAGGAGGTTCCCTGAACATCCGCAAGGCCACCGAAGAGCCCAGGGTCCCCCTGAGACGGGTGAGGGCCTGTCCAAATGAGCGAGAAATCTTGATAGCAGCAACAGCACAGCAAAGACAAGAACAAAAAACAAACAAGGCTGCTTGTCTTTTTGTCCTTGACTTTTTGCACTGTGGCTGCTATAAGGAATTACCAACTTGCCTAAGCTTCCATCTTAACGGGAAAATCTTGCACAATTCGAAGAGCCCAGTATTGCGGGAATAAAAAGTTCGAGGCACTAACACTGTTTATGAACCGGAACCTCGACAAGGTTTTGTCTATACCAGGGCTTTTAAACACGCGGTCCGCGGGCCACAAGCAGCCTGTGACTCTCTGGGATGCGGCCCACAAGCATCCCCCAGCTGCGAGCCCTCGTTCCCATTCCTCGAATTCTGCATGCACCATAAATAATAGTTTTATATTGTTGATTCATTTCTGCTCATAAAGGAGCTGTGCTCCCTTCACAAATTTTTCACTAATCGGTTTTCTTTTGGACGAAGTATTGCTTCGTCTGAATATTTGCTTCTCAGCCCTTTCTGATATAAATCAACCGGAATGGCAATACCACTATCCTAGGGTATTCAAGTGCAAGCTCCTGACTCAAGGAGGCACCTCAACTGAACCAAGTCCGGATCAGCAGGAGCAACGGCCAAAGATAAAGCTATCAGCCCGGACTTCTATAGCTGTTAGAGAATGTTTTTGAGAGATGAAAGTATTTTCTTATAATTCTGCTATAAAAAGCATTGAGAAAGTAAAAACTGTCGTATGAAGAGATATTTTTTCTACGCCTATTCGCTTGTTCTCGTTCTTTTGAAAACTGCCATGTAACGTTGTATGATGGTGTTTTAAATCTTTTTATAACATCAGGTGTGGGACCGAAAGAAGTTGCACACGCAAATAAAAGCTAAAGAGGGCAAAAATGACGAGTTCACAAAAAGAAGAAAGCACATTGTTCCTCATCTAGAAATTATCTGTAGTGGATGGCTGGGACAGTTGGCTGCTTTGAAAAGGGAAATGGGAATTCTGTTTGTTTGTTTAGTTTTTTGTCACAGAATTGCCAAATACCCCCCCCCCTCCCCGCCCTCCCCCTTGGCCCTCGTCTTTCCGGGGGTGGGCTATCTAGCCCCCACAGTCGAATGAGTTTGAGACCCCTTGTCTATACTGCACACAGACGTTGTCCACGTTGTTACTTGCTTTGGTGTGTGTATGGTACTTGTTGTAAGGACGGCTGACAGGTTGTCGGTTGATGTGGTCAACAACAGCAATCAGATATTTACATGATAACTGTCCGGCATCTTTCGTTCATGGCCATGCCTCGATCGTCCACCTTGTGCCTTCTTTTCTCGGGTTTCCGCTTCTTTTTTGTCGGGATGCCTGCTTCCATATAGTAACTTTTAACAGTACTTTTTATGGGGCTAACCTTGTTTTCTTGCATTTACAGTAATCAAGTGGTAATTTGTACATTCATCATTCTTTGCTTTAGTTTTTTCTTGGAATTTTTTCGTTATAAGCCCACCACCTAAACATACTCTTATACCGCTGTCAGACATGCATGTTAAAGGCCTTCAGAACGACCTCCTTTAAAGGTTCGGCAAAACCAGCGCACGCCGATAAGTGCAAGATCGCGAGCTAATTTGCTGATTCTTTAAAGCAGTTTGTTTTGAAGGCCTTTAACGTGCCCGTTTGACAGCGGTAATACACAAAGTGATATGTTCTTTGGACAAGCATTGATTCATGGTAGTCATCTTTTATCTTCTAGAGATGGATTGCTTTTTCTGACTTTTTGGCAAACATCAGTTTTAGATCCAAACTTCTTGTTTTGAGGGACACTGCTACATAGGCTATCTGAGACTATTTGGTTGTTTGAGTGTTCCTTGCACATCTATCAATTAAAACAAAGGAATTTATAGATCTGGTTTGTTTAGCATTGCTTTGTTTGGTGTACCCTAGTTTGGATCCCACATGAGACTACTAAAATCTATATCAACAGCACTCTCCCTGGAGAGATTTCCCATCCCAGATTTCTGATCAATATCCATAGATTCGGGGGTGTCCGCAACTTTGCCCACACCCGATTCCCGTCAGACATCACGCAATATTCGATGGGAATTGCATCGACCATGCAATCTGCCATATCGGTACATGTGACACCGTGGAACTCGAGTTTAATATGCCCCTAATCTCTGCGCGTCTGCTCCCTTGATATGCAAGTTCATAGCCGGTTCCCATTTGGCATGTTTATGGCACCAAGCAACGCTGACAGTACTATCAGTTTTTATGACACGGGAGACTAGAAATTTTTGCGTGCTTATCACATGACGAAATCGCGTCAGCCATCTGTGGCATCAGTTCCAGTATCATATGACTCCTAGCGAACCCCTCCCGCTTCATTGTGTTTATTCCTCATTTTTTATATAATTTTGCTGTCGCATCCCCAATTGTTGCCCACCCGAAATTTTTTACGACATCTGTTCACCATAGGTGGGCATTCTTGTGGGTTTTACGGTAAGCAAAATTAGAGCCACAACATTAAAAGCAGACAGAGCTGGTGCCTCATCTGCCTGTACCCCGATGTTTTCCTTCAGTCATTCTGCCTGTTGTGCTCTTCTTTTACTTTTAATGACTTACAAAACATGCATTCAGCAAGAGAAAGTTCAAAGCACATTAGACTAAGTTTTTTTTTAGTGTCTTGTTTAGTGTTTTAGTCTTGAGTTTGAATTAAACAAAGATGGACTTTCGGTTTTACAGGCCAGGTCAAGTTCTGATGATGTCAGCCTGATGAGAAGACAGAGAGAAGATTCCTTTCACCAGATCACCAAACTCAAGAAGGACATCTTCAGTTTGGAAGCACATGCCAACGAGGGAATGCGTGAGGTGAGCACACACACTTTACAAAAAGCATAATCTTTTTTTTTAGAGCGCTTTCTCAAAGAAGAGAGGTTTTGCAGGTTTTTCCTATGATAGCAGCTTCCATTGAGAGAACTGGTGCAGTGGCAGGTGCACAATACCTCTGTGGACTTGAGATTAAGATGGCCAAAACAGAGTTACCAAAGAGACCTCGCTTAAGTGGCCACGGATAACCCCTACATCAATACCTTTTCGATTGTATTAAAAGCGTCAGGAGGGCATAATGTGCCCAAGTTTTCGCGTTTTCAGTATAAACCGATGAACCCGTAAAAATAATTCCCAAGCCGGTTCTACAAAGACCAAGGAAAACCGAAAAACCCCGAATTGGACATGTTCCTAAATAAAAAAAAGCCAAGTTTTGCGCAAAATAAAATTTTATGTAGAGCTCTATTTTGTGTTGACCTGAAACACAGCCCACACTGATTTCTTCACGAGGAGTACTTGCTTTTCATGAACCACACCCCATATCTCATTCCCTTCTTTCATCGGCCTCAGGGCAATTTCCAAGTATTCGGTGCAGGCTTTCTGGAGGTCAGGAAATCTCATGGCCGTGACTTCTCCAACATAAGCCCCGATAAAAGCCGATTTATTTTGTCCATTAGAGAAAAAAGTCGCCGAAAAGCACAGTATCCGTGGGAAAAACACCCCCTGGAAAAACACCCTGAATTTCAAAAGAAATCAACTATGAAAACTCTAAACCCTAAATATAACCTAGACAAATAGGTATGAAGTCGAGTTTAAGATGCTGAGAAAGCACATGTGGTGGGAGAGTATGTTGAGGGTGAGCAAGAAGAGAACAGGCAGGGGTGGGCTTACCTATTAATAGGTAGAGTAGGCAGCTGCCTGGGGCGGCAGACTTAAGAGGGCAACAAATTTCGGAGGGCAGGAAGAGTGCTGCTAACACTTTTCAAACTAATTTTGTGCCCACAGCATGTTGGAGCTAGGGCCTACTACTGAACTGCCCTGTAAAGCGGAGTGCTCAAGAGATGTGTCATGTACATACCTCGGAAAACATCACTCATGAGGGCCCTCACTCGCCCTCATCTTCACAGGTGAGGTGAGGGTGAGTGTGAGTTTCTGGAATCAGGAAGATTCATGAGTGTGAGGGTGAGTGAGGGCCGTGAGGGCGGTGAGTGTGTGAGGGGCATGAGGGCCATGAGTGCGTGAGGGGCCTGAGGGTGGTGAGTGGCATAAGGGGATGAGGGCCGTGAGAGTGGCGAGTGCGTGAGGGGTGTGAGGGCCATGAGTGCGTGAGGGGTGTGAGGGCCGTGAGGGCGGTGAGTGCATAAGGGTAGTGAGGGCCATGAGTGTGTGAGGGGTGTGAGGACCGTGAGAGTGGTGAGTGCGTGAGGGGTGTGAGGGCCCTGAGTGCGTGAGGGCAGTGAGTGTGTGAGGCCCCCTTCCCCCTTTATACGAAGCAACTTTCTCAGCAATTTTGGTTTTGCTGGTGGGTTGTTCCCTAGCTTTACCTAGATCGACACGAATCGCTGAGATCGGGTCCAGCTCGGAACAAGCGAGCAACTCGGAGCAATTCAAAAACGTTTGAAGCGGCCGCATCCAATCAGGGACGCAATATTTTCACGTGATACCTCGTGCCGGGGATGGTGACAACAAAAGACTTGGTTCTGGTTTGAAATTGGTCGTTTTTGGAAATAAACTGTTTTAGAAAGATGCATTAGTATTCTCAACCAGATTTAAATGCATAAAAAACACGTTTATAGCGCGTAATTGTGTGTCTAAATAATGCAAGAAAAATAAAATTTCGTGATAATGATGGCTAATTGCAGCATTTGGTTACTGCGTGTGAACGCGTGCGGCCCCTGTTGCTGCTGTTGCTACGTCAAGTTTCTGGACGAAATTGTTCCATCTGAAGCGGGCCTGAGTGCCGTAAGGGCCGTGAGGGGCGTGAGGGGTATGAGTGCGTGAGGGCCGTGAGGACGGTGAGTGCGTAAGGGGCATGAGTGCGTGAGGGGCATACCTGCCCAACTCTCTCGGATTACCCGGGAGACTTCCGGATTTTGACAATTTCGTACAGTTGTACGATTGACAGGAAAATCTCCCGGAAAATATCCGCCGTTGTTTTTTTTTATGACGTTTTATTGCTATAATCATCACGCGTGTGTCATTGCGAGTTACTCAAGAGTAGGTTTAGGTTACTCCGGCGGGTTACCACGTGGCAACTCGGAGCAGTAGCGTAAAACGAGGGTAGATATTAGGGAGTTTTCGTAGATCGTTTTCGCCGTCCCACAAGGCCCTCCGTAACCCGCTACGATAGCGGGAACTCCACAGTCAAGGCTATCGGCGCGCAGGCACAGTAAAAACCTTAGCGGAGGGGGCAACGCTGTCTACGAAAACTCCCTATTCAAATGCCAAGGCACGAAACCTCTACCCCTGAAGTTAGAGCGCACTTTGGAACACGGCTTATATGACCATGGGTGCGCTAGGCTTCAGTTGGCTTTGTGAGGTCGTCGAGTGAGGTGCGGAACGCCGAACTACTCTTCGTGTTTCCACGAGTTTAGTTCGAACCACTGATCTGTTGGAACGATAATGACACTTTCAAAAGCCAAGAATAAGTTCTTGCAAGTATTTCTGAGATCATACGCGACTGAGTTTCAATGCTTTGTGGCTTCGCGGTAAGCTGACAAGTATGGATTCTGTACCATGTGCGCCTGTGATGTGTGAGCGTTTCGCATGGCGGCAAGCTTGACATCAAGATACACATCCCTTCACGAAAGCATCAGAACCATGCTCGTGCCGTAGAAGGGCAGGGCACCACTGGCAGTTTACTCCGAAACAACTGCGAAGACAGTGTGATTCGCGCAGAGTGCTTCTTCACAAAGTTTCTTGTCAAACTAAAAAAAAAAAAAAAGTTCCCCCCTCTCTTTCCCCCCCCCCCCCCCCCCCGGATTTGATTTCTCCGAACTTGGCAGGTATGGAGGGGCGTGAGGGGTGTGAGTGAGTGAGGGGTTTGAGGGTGGTGAGTGGCGTAAGGGCGGTGAGTGTTTGAGGGGTGTGATTGCCATGAGTGCGTGAGGGACGTGAGGGCTGTGAGGTTCAGTGAGGGTGAGTGAAGGGCTGAAGGTGAGTGTGACTGTGAGGGTGAAGGTGAGTGAGGGGCTGAAGGTGAGTGTAGCTGTGAGGGTGAGTGTGAGTGAGGGGCTTAGGTGAGTGTGGCTGTGAGGGTGAGGGTGAGTGAGGGCGACCTAAAATGCTGACTTCTGGTCATGTAACAGTGCTTATTAAGGGTGTCTAGCGACCAGGAAAACGGGGGAAACTGGGAATTGTCAGGGAAATTTTAATTACTGGGAAAAATCAGGGAATTGTCAGGGATATTGTCAAAAAGCTAGCCCAGTCAGGAAAAATGAGCCGGAAATGCCATCGAGTGCCCTGAGCAAAGACTTGAGGACTTGGGGGCAGAAAAATAGGCAATAAATTCTGCTTAGAGAGAAGCACAGGCTCTGCTCACCCGATGTAGAGTGTGCTACCCGATGCAAAGGGAACAGCTGACAAACCTAGTCCAAGCCTTGGATTGGATTGGATTGAGGGCACGAAACTAGTCTAGATTCAGTTAGAGCTACTAGATTTAGTAACAAATCGGAAAGCCGCGTACCCCAGTCCAATCCAAGCCGAAAGTATCCGAAAGTGTCCATTTGGCAGCCATGCTGCCATTCGGTTATTAACAAGGCGTGTGTAGTTGAGCGTCGTGTTTTCATCGTGTTTCTGGAAGTGGCCTCTTCACTGACGATGTCGGCAGCAAGAAAGGGCTCATTTAATCCGAACTGGACGAACCCGAATATTTTGGAATATGAAAGTTGGATTAAGCCCGTGCAAAATGATCCTCACAGTGCTCAATCTCAATACTTTGTGTTCTAATGGTCTTATATACTTATCCACCTCTACAGTGGTCAGGGGTTTCACCTGAATTTGTCAGGGGAAACCTGGAAAAGTCAGGGAATTTCAAAATAATAATTTGCTAGACACCCTCTTACACATTGTTCGAGTGAGCTTCACAGTCATCTGTGGTTTTAGCTGCAAAGAACTGTCTCGCCTTAGAGGACAGGTTTGAATTAACTGGACACTGTATCTTCCAGCTTATACTTCAATCGTATCAAATTCGTTGCTTACGATGGGCCAGCTGAACAAAGATTACACCACACACAGACAGAAAACACTATTCACACTGCTTTTAACCTTCTTTTACCGGCAGTGTGAATGATGATATTTTTTGTGTGGGGTGTAATCTTTGTTCAGTTGGCCCATCATAAGCAATGAACCAACTAGCTCAGCTGAAGCCTGTGACATGGTATCAAATTTGCTTGCGTGCAATTCTGAGATACACCTGGAAAACTTAATGTCTTGCATACGAAACAGTGATAGCAGTCTATAATATATAATAGTGTGTGAATATTAAAATTTTTGAATAGTAGTTTTTGATAATACGCTATTCGATATTTGCTTTGAGATGAACTGGGATATGCATACTTTTCAAAGTGTTCATTGCCCTGGTTGAGCTTTGTTGAGTGCGCTTCTCATTGAGCATTTGTGCTCTGCAAGGAAACAGTACCTGCAAAGCTCGCGGGTCTCGCAGGTACTGCTTTCCTGTAGTGTAGAGGTGCTCAATGAGAAGTGCATTGTACGGGGCTAACTTTCCGCGATTATGCACAAGTATATGTTATGCAGCAGTGCCTTGACAACCCGCATTCATAATTCATGCTTTTCTTTGGTCAAATAAGAAATTGGAAAAAAAATGTGCATGTACAGTCGTCAACCAATTCCTCGGACATCAATGTTTCGGACCTAAAGAAGGAACCGCGACTTACCCGATAGAAATAGTGCATATTCACGACCAATGTTTCAGACAGCTTGAAGTCTGAAAGTTAAATTTTTCGGACAAAATTGTCACTAGCAATCAGCGGGACACACCACCTAGAAGCCGCCATATTAGATTTTATGTTGGCTGCACATGGATTGGTTTGATATGCCAGTGCTACTTGAGTCCTGCTTAGTCCTACTGCTAGGTGACACTATGCTATGGCTTTTGTTTTCTCTAGCTGCGTGTCATTATCATCATCATCATTGTTAACATTTTACTTTGTTCATTCGCCTTTCTGCAGTCGTGGATTTGTGCCTCTCATCTCGTCTCGGTGAATAGTGTTTTCGGACTTCGCTGGCATGGACGTCATGGCTCCATCTTTTCTTCCGCTGCCGCAAAGTGTTGCTATGAAGCGCGGAAAGTGCTCAATCATAATGCTAGAAAAGAAGGCAGCGATTCTCAAGCTAATAGAAAGTGGCCGAACGCAAGCAGAGGCGTAACCTGAAGCAAGGCACTATTGACGGCTTTTTTAAGCCCACTTAGATGTAATAAATTCAGGTTTTTTAATCTGGTTGTTTTTCGGACTGCTCTATTATCCGGATGTAATTTTCGGTCCCTGCGAAGTCTGAAAAATTGGTCGGCGTCTGTAGCAAGCAGATTTGTAAATTTCCTTGATTGGGATAGCCATGGCAACATTGCTTTGCAAATGCCACAGTTCATAAATATAGTTATTTGGCCAAAACCACTATTTGCTTCAAATTCGCTTTGAACTCAAAATTTACAATTTTGCATATGCCTAGTATATATATACATGCTAAAGGCAATTTAATTTAAAAACTTTACATGGCAGCGGGGGACGTCATTTTTAAAAACTGCCTAGGACAGAAAAATGCAAAGTCCATTTCTGAGAGCAAGCACATGCTAGGAAATGAGAACTCGCAAAGTAGCAGGTTCAAGACCGAGGTGTGTGACCGTAAGAGATGCAAACTTTGCGTTCCTTTCCCGCTGGAGCGGCAGCCTTGGCATGGCTTTCCTTTGGAGACGCTATGCGTGACAATGTTTGTGCCGTCGAGGCATAACATGCATATCAAGTTTTTCGGTGCGAGATCTCCACAAAGCAACCCACAATACATTCTGCATTACCAGTGTCTTTGCAACAATAGTGTAGGAAAGGTGCAAATATTTTCTCGGGTTAAAATGTCTCCAAAGTACTCATCCGACCCCAGGATTGGTTTACAACAACATGGGTACAAGCACGAGAATATTCAAAAACAATCACTTGTGAAATTTCAGTTGGAGCTGGAGCATGCCCTGATCACGGGAGAGCTGACTGACGCCCAGGCTTGCCAAAAGTCGGACTATCTTGTCCTGGAGAATCTTCAAGAGGAGGAGAGGCGCCTGGCCAAACAAGCTGAGCTAGACCGAGAGCAGGTGGGTGTGACTGCCGTGCAAACCTTTACACCCTTTGAACTTGCCCTGTACAATCATGTATGCTCTTCCGAGTTTTCTGCACACTCATGTACTGGAGTCCCTTGCTTAAAAAGCATTAACTTGCCAAGAAGTCACTCTTTCTCTGCATCCTTATTGCAAACACGAAGAAAGCTGGTAGACATGGAGGCATTGTTAATTTTTGTTTTCATTTTACGCTGATTACCCAAAGCTATCCAGCTCCAAAGTTCTGGTAGGTGCATTGCCTCTTGGCCAGGTAGAGCATGTGTACTGTGCTGGTTTCAGGGTTACTTATTTGTAAATGCAAAGGGTATAACTTCATGAGATGAGACGTTCATTGGTCTTTTCATTTACATAGAAGAACTGTCATCTTAACATTTTTATAAAAGGGCTTATGTTTGTTGCTGATTCCTAGCGAGCTATATTTCCTAGTATTATCTGAGTTGGAATCAGTAGCCAAATATTCAGGTATGTAGGTCAGGTCAGATGCCGTACACAACTGGATCCTTATCATGTGCCCCTTTTCTTTCTCAGAGGTCACGCTTTAACTGCTTGAGTCATTAACTTCTGACATAATCTTTAAAAGAGGGAGGGGCGATACAGTAGGCAGTCTGCAGGACTGTCTCAATTCTGTCCCTTTAGTCATGCAGGGTTGAGGTGGCAGAGGTCAAAGGAGCCTGTTCTTTCTTGAAGACGATAAGCATGCTTCAAAAAATCTCAACGCAGGTTCACGGGATAAGGATGAGCTTAAATCACCGAAGTAGTGTTTTCCAGATGCATAGTGGAAATCACTACTATGTGATGCGCTTCAAAGACCCCAGCCTAGCAGTTGTACTGCACTGGCTAAATTTTTCATCTACAGTGGCATTGTCGCCATACCTGAGAGGTAGACCGACTTTACGCTGTCTAGACATGAACGTCAAATTTAGTTTTTGGTGGTTGAGGTAGGTCAACCCAAACGTAAGCATAAAGGCCCGTTCACACACTCGTGACTCCTTAGGACTGTGTGCCTTAAAACCTCTTAAAATCACTTATGGTGAGAGAGTATGCTAGCCCACTGGTGCCATCTATGCTGTGATCCTGGAACTGCACTAGAGCAAAAGTTTTGCAGTATTTGCAGCGTCAAGTGTACATACCACCTACTACAGATGATCGTTTATAACAGTGGTTCTCAAATGGGGATCTACAGACCCTTTGGGGTCTCTGAAGGCCTGCTTAGGGTCCCTGAAGCCCTCGAATGTCAATCAAGCTAAGCAATAAAACTTTTTTTAGAGCGCAGCTCTTAGGGGCCCGTCGGCGTCGCCGTCGGCATAACCGCGAGGCCACGTGTCCCCCCCAAGGTCACGTGACCCCCTGAGATCACGTGACCTCCCCAGGTCATGTGCCCCCCTTTGGTCACGTGACCCCTTGAGATCACGTGACCCCCTGAGGTCACGTGACCCCCTGAGGTCACGTGACCCTCCCTGAAGTCACGTGACCCCCCTGAGGTCATGTGACCCCCATCCCCCCCCCCCGAGGTCACGCGACTCCCCCCCGAGGTCACGCGACTCCCCCCCGAGGTCACGCGACTCCCCCCCGAGGTCACGCGACTCCCCCCCGAGGTCACGCGACTCCCCCCCCGAGGTCACGCGACCCCCCCTCCCCCGAGGTCACGCGACCCCCCTCCCCCGAGGTCACGCGACCCCCCTCCCCCGAGGTCACGCGACCCCCCCTCCCCCGAGGTCACGCGACCCCCCCTCCCCCGAGGTCACGCGACCCCCCTCCCCCGAGGTCACGCGACCCCCCCTCCCCCGAGGTCACGCGACCCCCCTCCCCCGAGGTCACGCGAGCCCCCCTCCCCCGAGGTCACGCGACCCCCCCTCCCCCGAGGTCACGCGACCACCCCTGAGGTCACATGACCTCAAGGAGTCACCTATCCCTCAGTACGCTTCCATCCTCCTCCTCAAGAGCTGCGCTCTAATCCGGCGTTACAGGGAATTGTAAACGGCTTTCTTTTTTTCTTTTAATTCATGGCATGGCTACCTTACAAAGCTAAATACATAGGCCGAAGTATATGTGCCAAGTGAGTAATACTGATTATTCGCTGTTTCAGAGCTTTGAAGTTAAATCAAAGTTGACTTTTGCCACTGACTGTCTAATACCACAGCTCTTCTCCCCCCCATTGTGGATGGGGTCCCCCATCACTTCTGCAAATCCAGAAGGGGTCTGTGAAACATTAATGGATGAGAAGCAGTGGTCTATTGACAAAAGATTTTTAAGACAAGAAATAAAAGAAAGGACGATGTGCGAAAAATACAGAAAACATACGGGACTGCCAAGTGTTCGCGGCTACCCGACAGGTGGTGCAGTGGTCCTGCATAAGATTTCTCTTTTTGTATAAGATATCAAGAGGTCATCAAGGCTCACGGTCCTAAGCAGTCGCAAGTGTGTGAACTAGCCTTTCAGTACTGTGATCGCAACGTGAGGGTTCTCAAATCGGATTCCAGTTACATTAGAGTGATGGATCCATGCAGCGTCTGTACACTGATTCCTTTCCTGGCGTACCGCTTTCCCCCTTCAGGAGCAGCTGCAACTGCAGGTGTCGCGCGGACGCATCGACAAGTGGGAGCGGCTGACGCGGGAGCTGCACGAGGTGCTGTCTGAGGAAGGAGGGGAGGGGGAGGAGGAAGGGGGAGACGGGAGGAGGGTGCTGGGACCCAGGGCGGAGGCCTCTTTTCCCCGCCGGCAAGAGCTGGAGGAGCGCTACCGGCGGGAGCTGGAGAGCCTGGACGGGGAAAGGAGGGCCTTCGAGGACCTCGAGTTCCGGCAGCTGGAGCGGGAAGCCCGCAGAGAGGAGGAGAGAGAGGCACTTGCACACAGGGCAGACCGGGTCAGGGCTGCCCTCGCGGACAGGCAGGTGGGTCGTCTCCCATTACGTGTTGCCCGCAAAAGCTCCGGTTAGACACTGGGGTCGATCGATTTACCGTGTTTGCACGATTCTATCGCACACTTTTTTCGCCGGAATGAGTGCCTAAAATGACGCGCATTACAATCGAAACTGAAAGCCAAAGCTCAAAAGAAAAAAATGACCGCATCCCCACGTGGTGAATGATGTTGATTGGGGCGAAGCTCTGGTGGTGCTTATCGGCGTAGACGCTGAGCCGCAGCATGCCGAGCCTTTCGTTCGTTTTCATCCATGTCAGAAAAAGAATGTGTGATATGGAACGTGGTTATGTACGCATTTGAGCATTTGACCGCAGCGCCCTCTCGTCTATAAACGTTGAGCCAATGCATGCAAAGTTTAACTCGATTATTTACGCATTTGACCGCAGCGCCCTCTCCTTTATAGACGTTGAGCGGCTACATGCAACGTTTCATCCATGACATTCCCAGCTCTTGAGTTACTGCCACATATCAGAGCCCCCTACTCGTCGCGCAGTCGTGGCCGAGTGGTTAAGGCGATGGACTAAAAATCCATTGGGGTCTCCCCATGCAGGTTCGAATCCTGTCGACTCCACAAACATTTTTTTTTGCATCATTTCTTTTTTCTTTTTGCCCTACACGAGCACGAGTACGAGCACCAGCGAGATCGATGTGAGCACGGATGCCGGATGGACAAGGCTAGACCCTAAGGAGCTTCGCCCCTAAAACGCAATACTCGGTATAAGGCAGCTACTAGCTGCCTTATACCGAGTATTGCGTTTTAGGGGCGAAGCTCCTTAGCCCAATCGCCTTCGTGACCGTTTGTTTACTTTCGCCATTTTAAATATCTGTGTCGGGCATTCCTTCGCCTTTGCGGACTTGCGTCTGCCGTTTTAAGATGAAAAAACAAAATAAATTGCACTAGGAGGCTTTATTTGAACGAAATGTTATCATGCTGGCAGGAAACGATAACAACGGAGCGACACTGCGTGGCCTCGCAGTCCCAGCGACCCAACGAGCTTGCGAAGTGTTGTTTGGAAGACATCCCTCTAATAAGCGACGGTCGCGCACTCGTACAAGCGCGAGTAGCATGGTACCTCAAACACTTTAGACGAAAGCAAGGATGACCTTCTGCGGTCTGTGGACGGCGAAGAACCATTGCCAGATTCCGAAAATGGCGACTTGTGCGCGGTATTTATTTTTTTGTATTGGCGTGCGTTTCATAAAATAGGTTCTATGAGGTACGTGTTCCAAGTCCATTCTTTTACCTGCGCGGTAGAATCAGCAACAATTAAATTTTTGAATATCTGGGAGCTATATTTGCCTGCGTGTAAGAATCGGGGGCGCGTTAGAATCGTGCAAACACGGTAACCCGCACCAGCCTACACCGGTGCGGAAGGGCATGTCTTTCAGGAAAGTGCGGGGCAGTGACCTCTGGTATCGTAAATTGAATACGATGGTGTGTGCTTAGGGCAGCTGGTGCATGAGGTGTAGATAAGTTGAACGTGCTAACTGCGGAGTGTCCAGGCCAGTTTTTTAGTCACGGCACTTGGAATGATCTGTCCCCCGCCCCCCAACCCCGTGCAATTCCAACCGTTTGGAGTCTCAATGCGGGTGCACTGTCCCGTCATTTGCTAGCACGAGCAGATACATCACGATCGCCCCGCTTGCTGTTGTGTCTTTTCCTGTGTTGGGAGAAGCGGCCTTCAGCTTTGCAGCAATGTGGTTAACTTAGGGACAACGTTACAAAAGAAGTGTTGAAAACTAGGCTAGTTGGTAGTGTTTTCTTTTATAAAACAGAACACACCAGAAACAGGAAGAAAAGAAGACACACATGACAGATGAGTGCTCGGACGTAATGTGTGTCTTTTTTTGTCTGTTTTTCGTGTGCTTTGTTTTATAATGTTACAGAAGTTAGTTCAAGGAGCAACACAGACTGATATTGGGCAAGGCTGGGACCAAATGAACAACTTTCTGGTAACATGGCTAATGCTTTACCATGAGCCATTTTTTTAACCTCAGTCATGACACGACAAATGCAATGGCTTGAGGAGAGCTAGTGATGGACCGAGTCTGCCAAACTTCAGATTCAGAAATAAGAAAAAGTACAACGTAGACTCTAACCAATTTCTTCAATGTGCCCGACGTTTCGAAGCCAGCTCGGCTCCTTGTTCACGGGTGACTGTATATGGTCCCAAAGGTAGCAACCTGTCGTCGTTTTCTTCTCTTCTCTCTTAGCTTTGTTTTCTTCTTCTGTTTCTGTGTGTGGCGCATTTTAGTCCGTGTATGTAGCTGCTTGGAAGCGTTCCGGTGGATCGGTTCAGGTTGTTGCTTGTATTTTGTATGTGCCAAGATTCTATTAAGAGCCGCTTCCTCCAGTTTCTTTCTGTGTCGAGGATGGAGCTGCAGTCAAAGCCAATGGCGTGGCCGGTCTTCTGAGCATGTTCCGCCAGCGCGCTGCCTTGGATGTCATTCTTCTTTACGTCATACTTATGTCTACGCAGACGTTCGGGAAAGTTCTTTGTTTCCCCCACATAAGAGGCGTCGCATTCGGCACAAGGAATTTGGTAAATCAGGCCTTGAGCTTTTAGAGCGCAGCTCTTAGGGGCCCGTTCCCGGCTTGAGCGGCGTCGCCGTCGCCGTCGCCGTCGCCGTCGGCGTAACCAAGGTCATCCCAAGGTCACGTGACCCCTCCAGGTCACGTGACCCCTCCCAAGGTCATCTCAAGGTCACGTGACCCCACGTGACTCCCAAGGTTACGTGACCCCTCGAGGTCACGTGACCCCTCCCAAGGTCATCTCAAGGTCACGTGACCCCAAGACCCCACGTGACCCTTTGAAGGTCACGTGACCCCACGTGACTCCCAAGGTCACGTGACCCCTCCCAAGGTCATCTCAAGGTCACGTGACCCCAAGACCCCACGTGACCCTTTGCAGGTCACGTGACCCCCAAGTCACGTGACCCCTCTGAGGTCACATGACCCCCGAGGTCACATGGTCTCCTCCCCAAGGTCACGTGACCCCCAAGGTCACGTGACCCCTCCCAAGGTCATCTCAAGGTCACGTGACCCCAAGGTGACCCCCACGTGACCCCCCTCCCCGAAGTCACGTGACACCCCCCCCCCCCCCCCCCCGAGGTCACGTGACCGCCCCCCCCCGGAGCATATTAAAGAATGAGGGGAGGAGGAGGGGTCTACCCTCCCCTCAGTACCCTTCACTCCTCCTCCTCAAGAGCTGCGCTCCAATTCGGCGTTACAGGGATTTGTAAACGGCTTTCACTTTTTTTCTTTTGGTGGACGATCCTTTGGAAGAGGAAGAAAATGGCCCAGAGTTGAGACAGGTTTATGCGTAACTGCAATGCCGTACGGTCTCAAAACGCGGGCTAGGACCTCGCTCGTGCCATTGAGGTACGGGACGCACATGCGGCTGGAGGTGTTTTTGTTCTTGGATGTAGGAGGGTGACGAAGTTGTTTGTATATTTTGTTGACAAATCTCGTGGGGTAGTTGTTTTTCCGAAGGTCTCGCTTTATAATATCGACTTCCATCTTAAGTGACTTCTTTGTTGAGCAGACCGTGAGGGCGCGTCGAAAGAGCGCCGACACTACAGAGGATTTGTGAGTTGTAGGGTGGTCTGACGAGAAATTTAGGTAGCGACCGGTGTGCGTTGCTTTCCTGTATACTTGGAAGGATAAATGGTTCCCTGTTTTTTCCACTGCCACATCCAGAAATGGAAGGCACCCGTTAGACTCATGTTCAACCGTAAATTGAATGTCTGGATGGATAGAATTGAAATGTTTGTGAAGGCGGTCGACTTCGCTGGACTTGGCAACACAGAAGCAATCATCCACGTAACGCAGAAACAGAGTCGGTGTGGGAGAAAATGTGCTTAAGGCTTTTTGCTCGACGGCTTCCATTGTGAGGTTGGCTACAGTGACGGACACCGCGGCACCCATGGCTGTGCCACTACTTTGCTTGTAGTAGCGACCAGCGAAAGAAAAGTAGGTGTTTGTCAGGCACAGCTTTAGTAGCCGACATATCTCATTCACCGAGAGGTGTGTTCTTTCAGGTAGAGTCGTGTCGGCCTTGAGTGCCGTTCTGACAACAGACACCGCGAGTCGAATGGGAATACTCGTGAAGAGAGATACCACGTCGAATGAAACAAGGCACTCGTCGTCGTTCAATTGCAGGTCCGAAGCGAGTTCGATGAAGTGGGCAGTGTTCTCGACATGTGTGTTGGTCTTCCCCATGAGTGGAAGAAACAGACGATGGAGATAGTTTGACAGCGCTCGTAATGGCGACGTTGTAAAGTCAACTATGGGACGAAGCGGAATGCCACACTTGTGTATTTTTGGTAAGCCGTAGAACGCAGGAGTCGATCCGTTTCGGCAGATAAGACTAAGGTAGAGAGCCCGAAACTCCGGATATTTGTTGAAGACGGCGTAAAGCGCTTTGTTTAAGATTCCATGAATTTTTGATGTCGGGTCTTTCGGTAGCATAATGTACGCTTTGGTGTTCAGAAGTGCGTGCACCTTCTCCTCATAGTCTGTGCGGTCCATCACCACTGTGACATTCCCTTTGTCATCAGGAAGAATTACGATGCTGTTGTCTTCCTTTAGCTTCCTGAGGGCGGACTTTTCTTCTGTGCTATAGTTCAAATGCCTCCTCTGGTTTACCTTTGAAAGTACGCCGATGGCTTTCAAGCGAGCTTCTTCGCAGATGCAAGGGTCTAGTTTGTGTAAACCCTCCTCAACGGAAGCTGCCATAAGTGCGAGAGGAGGATGAACAGTAGTGAAGTTAAACTTCTTTCCTTTCGCCAAAACTAGTGTCTCGGTTGGGGAGAGTACCTTCGAAGAGACGTTTTTGACGAAATCCTTGTTCAAAGTTTGGGGGGTCCATCCTCGACACAGCTCCATCTTCGACACAGAAAGAAACTGGAGGAAGCGGCTCTTAATAGAATCTTGGCATATACAAAATACAAGCAACAACCTGAACCGATCCACCGGAACGCTCCCAAGCAGCTACATACACGGACTAAAATGCGCCACACACAGAAACAGAAGAAGAAAACAAAGCTAAGAGAGAAGAGAAGAAAACGACGACAGGTTGCTACCTTTGGGCCCATATACAGTCACCCGTGAACAAGGAGCCGAGCTGGCTTCGAAACGTCGGGCACATTGAAGAAATTGGTTAGAGTCTACGTTGTACTTTTTCTTATTACTTACCTAACCAGGCGGAGTTCCGCCGAAATGTTTACATTTAAGTCAGATTCAGAAAGAAAGTTCGGCAAAGATTCGTAAAAAATTCAGCAAATGTGTGCACATGCACGAAAATGCGACAGGGCCATGGATTGCAAATGGACGCCGCGCAGTTGTGCGGTTACCACTGTACGGTGTAGTACAACCAGCGGTTACGGCGAGGTGTGGAGTAGGCAATACGGTAACTGTGCGTTTGTGAGCCTTTGCGAGTGCGGTTATCTTCAATATTTTCTGCCTCAAGAACAGGAGATGGATCAGTAATTTACGCAGTCCACTCCATATGTGACAAATGCTGCGGTAAATTCTGGATTACGTGATTTTCATTTGACCTTTCTAGTGATGCATTGAGGTAGTTGAAATATTGACTGACAATACTTTAAAGCACTCCTCGCAATTATAACAGTCCTGTTTTTGGCTCACAAGTACTATCTAAGCTCGTTAAACAGACCTTAATTTTGACCAAGATTTCGGTCTGTTGTAAGAGGAGTATGTTGTATGCAGATGTGAAGTTGAGTCAATGGAATGTAGAGGAAACCAACTGAACTTCACAAATCGGTATGTTATATCCGAATTTCTGTTGTAACCAGGTCTGCTGTAATGATAGATTGTAGTTTGTGCCAAAGCAAAAAAATAATATTGCTTTTAATTAGCGTTATTTTGCAGTTTTCATGTATCTGCATAAAACTAAACACAAAACTATCATGTCTCGACGTTGCACATCCAACATTCCTAACTCTTCCCATCTTCCTAAACGTCCATGTGTCGTAACACCAGCAAACGGCATTTTAAAGGTTAAAATTGGGACGTTGCGATTATGGGACAAACACTTTCATGCAAAGCTGACGTCTAGTGACTCAAATAAAAAAACAGGCATACTATTTACAATAATATTGTTATCTCTTCTGGTGAAGACTCAGCAACCATTGCCTTTGTTTTTGCGCACAAAACGGTGACTCCCAGAGAAAGTAAGAACGCAGTGTTATTGCCTTTATTTTAACAATGTACACACGCTTGCAGGCTTGCCCTGATGAGAGCAAGCCTGCAAAACCGAAACTTTCATGGCATGAATCATGACTGCGCCTGCTACTACCTAACCTCGTTGTCGCACCACTTCTACAAGAAGTCACTGTAATATTGCCAGTAAACACAAAAACGACACTGGTACAATTGTCTTGTGGAATATCACCTTATTTAGTAATAACTGTATTAATATGCCTTACATGTTGCATTTAAGTTAAAAATAAACAACATAAAACCTTCTTTTGCAAGAAAAAAACTAAATATCAACATTAAGTCTGGTAACAGCGTATATTTTTTACAGCAGAGCTGTTAAGGGCTAGTTTCCTCAAAAGCGTGTCCGCCGGAATAGAAAAATTTGACACCAAACTCTGGACAGCCAACGCCATCTATGAGCGACTGCGGCAACCAGACAACTGGTTGCCGCCGTCGCTCATAGAAGGCAACGACCTTTCTTTGGAGGAAGAAGGGCGCTAGCGGAACAAGCGGTGACTTGTGCAGCAGCGCGAATGGTTCCACAACCGCCGCGAAGCCTCTATCGCCTAAAGTCCCACTGCGTCGAGCGCTTCAGATTCCCTTGCGAAAAAGAGCAGATCACTCGCCTGAAAAGCCACCGTCGAGAACAGAAGCTATAGCTCCGCTGCTCTTCTTTCTTCACCAGAGTGGAAAGGCTGAAAGATTGCCGAATCTTTGCCGAATCTTTAGAAAAGTTTGGCTTTGCCGAATTCCAAGACTTGTCGCCGAATTTTCGATACGGCAATGGTTCGGCCCATCACCACTTTCCACGCTGGCAGTCTCAAAGACTGCTCAACCCGACTCATCAGTCTGTGCTCGGCGTTCACAGTCCCAAGGATTTCTGTGTCACTTTTGATAGGAATGGAGCAATACCTTCAATTTCTTTTCATACACATATTAGATGAAAAATTCAGGTAGTTACACAAGACAGTCGAAAGCCTGTCTTGTCTGTTTGTCTTTAATGTCCCTCTTTCCTTATCGTAAAAAAGGTGCCGAATATTTTAGCTAATTTTACAGCGTGCCCCAGGATGGACGTGAGTTCTACCGAATATGAAAAATGCCTGGAAGCGAAGATAGAGATGAAGCAATACGCCTCGCAAGTGGGCTCATTTTTGTCTTCTGCGCATGAGAAAGGAAGTAGCGGTGACGGCAGAACGCCGAGACCTGATTGGCTGATCGCGACCCCCTATCTGAGCGTCGTCTGCATGCTCCTTTGCAACGTCGTCTGCTTGCAACGTCGTCTGCGTCTATCTTACCTTTCCTGCGACTTTCGGAAGTCGAGCGAGCTCGACTTTGCCTTTCAGAGAGGGCAGACGAAATAATACGAGCGGTACATTGTTTTTGTCTAACAACTAGCAGACGCGCATCAAGGAGGGAAGTCAAAGGACTCACTGGCGAGGCGTCCCGACTCCCGAGGCGCCGAGGTTTGTTTGCTAAGAACCGAGAGTGAGGGTGGTTAGTGTCCGCAAGTTCCCTCCCAAATAACTTTTTCCCTCCTTTCGTGTGCGGCGAGACTCCTCACTCTTTAACGGCGTCGGCGGGTTGGCGCAGTTAACGTCGTCTGCTTTACGTCTGCTAGTCAAAGCGGTGGCTGCTTTACCTTTCCTGCGTCTGTCGGAGATTCACCGCTTTTTCACCGGCGAGAGTCACCGTTGCCTCGGAAAACAAGGAGATGACAAGAGGAAGAGATTGACCTTTTAATCTAAAATTGAGGTCAGCGATCAAAGTATAAGATGGGAAGGGTTCACAAGGGTCGCGCGGGCATATTTCATTCAGCACGCCAGCCGGTCGTGGGCAGACGGTCGCCGAGTCGGAGTGCCTTCTAGGCCTATCTGCCGTGCTCGCTTGGTCGTTGTCGGTGGAATCGTGGCCGTTGGAGCTTTTCCCGGGTGTTTGTGGATCCAGCGTTCTTGTTCGTCGTGGTCTGTTTCAAGTACTTTTACTCTTTTCTTGCTGCTTGAAGTCGGGACGCGTGAGAAGCGCAGGTAGAAAAATAAACGTCCGTGGGTCGTCGCGACCGCGACGCTGTCGGCCATGCTGATTTGATCGTAAGAAGTGCGTAAGACAGCTTTGGAGCTGTCGTAGGATTTCGTCGTAACCTGCGCAAAACTTACGAAAATTTCGTTTCGTGAATACGAATTTGTTCTCAAGATTTGTCTTACGCATATTTTTGGCGTAAGATCGTTTCGTGAATCTGGCTTCTGCACTTTCGAAAGTCGCAGGAAAGGTAAGACAGACGCAGATGACGTTGCGAGCAGACGACGTTGCAAAGGAGCAGACGACGCTCAGATAGGGGGTCGCGATCAGCCAATCAGAACTCGGCGTTCTGACGTCACCGCTACCCCCTGCGCAAGGAGCAGACGAACTTGCCCTCCGCATACACAATTTAAAAGTTGTTGCAAGACAAGATACGTCATTTTGAATGATAATTAAGGGGTTACCAAAGGCCACCAGAACCTTCCATATATAATTGAGGCAAACAGACTATCGACAAACTGAAACCATTCTGGTGCAAGCCATCCCTGTCTTTCGAGACATTGGGAGGAGTCAGCGCAACCACTTGCATGAGACCTTAGAGGCTTTCTAAAAGCATGGGAAGTGCCACCTGGCCCTCTTTCATTTGTATCGAATAGCTTTCTGGCTCTTTTGCCAGTATGCAAAGTTCTGTGATATACGCCGCATAGTGCAGCACAATTAGCATAAGCAATTCCCAGTTTTTCCTGACCGACTTTGCTAAAAGTTTGTAATCATAAATACTACCTTGCTGGTGCAGTAGAACGGTCTCAAGTGGAGCAATAAAGCTAGGTAATAAAATTTACTCTTCGACACTGAGTGCTAGAAGCAAAATGCGAAAAAGGAACATTTTATTTGTGTTAACTATGTTGCAGTGAGTACAGACCGAAATAAGCTGCTTTGCATAGCTTCAATAGTATCATGTAAAATTTATTCAATGTTTCTGAATCACTGCATTCTTTTTCCTCTGCTGCAGCTAAGAATTCGAGAGCTCATGGAACAGCAGAAGACAATCGCCATGCAGATCGAGCAGGAGCAGTCAAGTTCTGACATTGACAAACAGCTGATTCATGCACAATTGCTACAGGTATGCGGTTCACTGTGATACGAATACACTACACATTGGATGGAGAGACAACTGTACAAAGGGGCTAAATAATAAGAACAGTGTATTTATTAATAATGTGCTTCGAACACTAATACATACGAAAATCGATTATTAGAAGATGTTTCCAATTTATTTCATATCCAAGCTAGTGTAAAAATAAATGTCTTGGCAGTTCACTTTGTCTTTCCACTTTTTCCTTTATAGTAGTACATATCTTCCCTTCTTAATAAAAAAAGAAAATGGAGATTGCTCAGTGATTTGCTCACACTTTCGTTGGCTGTTCTATCATCTCTGTATGTTTTCTACTGCTAGCTGCATATGAATCTACGATTACAAAGAATTTTTGCAAAAAATTGGAAGCACCTAGATACGCACAAAAATCAATAACACTTGGTGTAAACTAAAAAAAACAAAGGTACTTGCGATACAACTGTTGGCATTCTTTCTGGTTGCCTATAATGGGTATTTATCAAAGGAATTGATTAAATTTTCATGGTTTGGTGGTGATGTGTTTTCAGGAACAGCGGAAGCTGGACGTCCTTGACCAGCAGCTGAGGCATGCTACCCGCACTCCCCAGGACGCTTCTCTAGACTCCAGCGATGACAGCAGCTCTTCAGAGTCGGAAATTGTAAGTCCCTCATAGTTTGTCATCGTTACTAAGTGTAAAGCTGCAACCGAACTTGCTTTTTTTAGGTTGAGTTGAAAGATAGATAAGGAATCGGTGACCAAGTGTGTTGGTATGTACTGTAGCTCTGAGCACATAAAGCGAAAGCTTGTGCTTTAGAACTTATGCATACTGTGTTCAATCCCCAACCCTGACCGTTTCAACCTGAATGAGCATTCGTTGTGCAGTCTTGTATCACTACCACGAGATGCACGTTGGCTAGCAGTGGTAGTGCACTGGCTAAACTTCTCATCTACAGCAAAGTTAGCCAGCCCATTGGGACTGACTAACTTCCCGCTGTATAAACGAACACACAACAGAAAGATGGAAACATAAAGTTATAAATAAATATTAAACTGCAGCTTTGTTATTTTAGGAATAATTGCTACTGGACGATTGAGTTCTCCTGAGAAAGGACATGCATATAAGCACACTCGATCCTGCAAATGCAATTTCATTTTTTTCTTCTGTCACATGCCAACTGGTAAAAGGTTTCAAAAATGAATTACATAATCCCGTAGCCCACATATTTAACAATCAGTATTTATTTAGCATTCACATACACACATGCGAACAATGCAACAAATCCACATGCGCATGTTCATATCTGCTGCCACTGGTTTTCAGCACCAATTCATCCACTTGCAACTCCGAATTGCTGTGTAAGCTTCTCATCATGCTATTGAAAAGACTATGTACAGCAGACCCTTTTAATTCAAACTCCAGAAAGCCACAAATTTTGTTTGAATTATCGGAAGTTTGAATTATCAAAAATTCACATAAATATGATGCAAGATAAAATTATGATTTACTGTATGGATGGCTACACATGCAAAGCAGATATTTTATGATTTTCTCTACACAGGCCTACTAATCATAAGCAGCTATACCACACATGAAACATTGGTGAAATGTATGGCATAAGCTTATTCATCCCTCAAACATGTTGTTTATCGTGGACTGTTTAGAGAGCACATGACACCTCAAAACAAAATTAAGTTTGGTCTTCCTGTGAAAAATTCTATTGTGGACTACTCACTGCTCCTCAGTGGTGTTGCAATGGAATTGTTTTGTGTTGAGACCCGGCCACGTCCCAACATCTGCTCTTTTTTTTTCTCTCTCTTCACAATTCGGCGGCCGCTTCAAGAATTTAAAAATGGGTTTTTTCGCCTACTAGCAGGGCCTATCGCGCTTGTTACTTCAGAAAAAAAAGGCCTTTTTTTGTGCTTCACGCACAGCCAATCATGCTTGTACTTTGTCCACCACCGGTTCTTTCTAGGTCAAATTAACCAATATTGCATTATTCTGGATCGAAATAAAGTTTTTTTTTTTATATAAAAATGTATGGTCTTTTACAAGACCTCTGAACAGAGGCGAATTAAACGGTAAGTCGAATTAGTCGAGGTCGAACTAACACAAGTCGACTGTACATTGAAAACATAATGGGACAACCAAACTTTTTAATTTGTTTGAATTACGTACCCAGAAGTACAAAATATCTATGTTTAAATTATTGCGAGCTTACTGTAGTAGAATGTTGGAGAGATTGGATCAGAAGAGGATTAAGTATCTTCAACGTAGGGTAGCTTAGCAATGTAACATAAACCTTATAAGATTTCTTTAGGGACAGGTACAGGATACTTAGGGTTATTCACTTTGGATGGAGTGTTTCTAAAATTTTTTGTGTCTCTTCAGTTTTTATCGTCTAGAAATTAGAATATATGCACCCCTGAGAGTGGGGAAAGAAGGGACAACATGAATCACGCTTTGTTTTTGAGCTAAGAGAAACACTCCAAATGGCAAGTTCCAGCCATACCACTCATACAACAATGCACAGTAAATGTGATGCTCGCACATGGTACCTGAATGTCTGCCAGATGTTTGCCGAGAGTTTGTATGAAAGTCCTACGGGAGGTAATTTATTTTTAGTTTAGAAGGTATTGACAATGAGGCTTGGATTTTTTTGAGGGCCAAATTGTTGGCTAGATATGTTTCATGTGGTGTGCTTTGTGAAAGTTAGGAAGGCCAAATCATGCACAAGAGTTTGCTTGACCGAGTTTTTGCGGTCGCTTACGAAGAGAGAACACGCTGACACCGCGAGTGAGGTGACCCTAGCTGGGACAGTGGCATAGCAACCGGGGTGGCCGGGGGGGGGGCCGTGGGGGGCTGGGGAGGGGGTGGGGAGGGCCGGGGGGGCCCCGGTTACCAGGCATCCCAGGCACGTGGGAGGGTGCCACCTCTGGCAGAACCCTGCACCCCCCCTCCCCCCTCCCCCCCTCCCACTTTGCCCTTGCTTTACTGGTTGGCTGCGATATCAAGGAGTGAAGGGGAAGGGAGGGGGGCTACAAAAGACATAAGGGCCCCGGGTACTGGATGGCCTTGCTATTCGCGACTCCAGCGACCTATAGGGGGCGCCACCACCAAACAAACATGGCGGCTGAGTCCAGGTCGCGTCGGCTCGGCCGGGCCGCCTGAATGGGTGGCGCGTTCAATTTAACAAATTTTCTTTCGTTGAATGCCCAATTTTATGGGTATTTGAACTGAGACAGTTAAGTGTAGCCGGCGCGTATAAACTTGCCGAGCATAGCTTTGTTTTGCCGGTGTTTTTCTGTTTTTTTTTCATGTCAAACTTTCGTTTCGGAGACTTCGATCAAAACCGAAACTATGGGCTCCGAGAAACGGTAATAGACTCTAATTAGTTTTGATCATCTAAGGAAAGCGGCGAGGGCTACAAAATTGTTCCACCGAGAGTAATTTTTAGCTAACTCGCATGCCTCGACCATGCGACTTATCTGTCCGCAAATGGAGCTTTTGTGCCTGTCCGCGTTTCAAGAAACAGCTCCAGTCGTGTGCTCGGTCAAGAACACATGCTGCAGGAAAATTACAAAAATTAAGCAAGCGCTTCTTGAGCCAAGCAGCATGTCAACTCGCTGGCGCTTCACTAAGCAGCTGATACTCGTATTTCAATTCAGGTTTTAGTAGCAATCGAGAAGGTCATTTTAACGAATATGCGGATTATGTATCATATTACGTACTATGGTCCCACTAAAGCGATATTAGTATATTCTTCGGGTTGAAATATGAACTTAGTTAACTAACTATTATGTGAACTGCTGAATAAAAGTATATTTGACAGACAGAGATATACTAATTAAACTTAGCCAAATGGTTGTAGCCGGTAGAACGGAGACGAATGCGGACAAACTGAGGAGAGTCTTCATCGGAGATTCACTCAGACCTCTCTGCATTGAACCTGACTTCGAATCCTGAACGGATAAAATGAGTATTTTTTGTGGCCGGTCAACCTGAGCAATGTAGACGTATACTGCTGCTGGCTTCGACAGGGGTTATATTATAAATATTGGAGGCGCGATAGATCCTAATGACGTGACAGCTTCTAACTTTGCGAGACGCGTCCCCCACCTTTTGAAAGCAGATATTTTCCCTCGTTAATCATACGCAGCGAGCAGGTTTTCTGAATCAAGTAATTGCGAAATTAGCCCAACTCCTTCAATGTGTTCCTTTTCGGCGAAAAGCCGCCAAGATGAATAGCAAACGCACCGGCCGGCGTTAGTGGCTCAAATTAACTTGAAGCTAATCGAGCACAACCAAACTCAAGGAAAGCAGCTATCGAACCTTCCCATTCACTTGACTGCAACATTGGTGTTCCCTCCAGTGAAACACTTCGTCTGTCGACCTCAGTCCACTGTTCTACATCCTTATAAAGAAACCAGTTATCAGTTACCAAGCAGTCGTCAATTTGAATGTGATTAAAGACAGACGAGAAATCAAAACGTTTTTCCGTGATTCCTCTTCATCCAAAAAATTGAAAGCACGCGACCGTATGTTGTGGAGTAAACGGGCTCTCAAACACGTGATGGAAAGAAACAAAACTATTGAGGCTTCACCACACTAATGAACACTCAGGCAAACTTAAGAAATTTTCGGACCTTCGTCAAATTACATTGCTAGCCCCCGCGCCGACAGCACGTGTCCGCGAAAGCCATCAGAGCCGCGGCGGGGCGCGGAGCGACCTGGACCGACTGGTTCCCGGTTTTCCCTCTTGGAGGCGTCCGTTTTGCTGGAGTCGCGAATGCCACTGCCCTGGGACTGCATTTCACAGAGCGAAGTTTTTGCAGTATTTGTGAAATAAAATGTATGTAGTAGTACTGTTCGTGAAGAATGGCCGTTTATAACATTGTCAAAAGTTTTTTGAGCCAAGAAAGAAAGAAAAAAAAAATAAGAAGTTTACGGAGATCCAAAGTGTTGCATGGCCACCTGATGGATGGCGCCGGTGTTTTTTCTCTCTCTCTCTCTCTCTCTTATTCTCACAGAAAGCCATATACATTTGCACATTGTGTTGTTGTGGGTTCTTTTATATGTTAGAAATGTACACTCGCTGGCAATAAGAAGGTGAACGCCGGACCGTCCACCGCTCCGTGCTATCAGCGCCATGACGTGGCTGCCACGGCAGCTGCGTCATGGCGATGATAGCACAGAGTGGTCGACGGCTTGGCGTTCACCTTTATATCGCGCACGACTGTACAGTAATAGTGAATAGGAATGACTACCTCGGTCAGCACACGTATGTGATCCGAATTCTACAGTGAGAACTAAAAATGCAATCAACATAATATGCAGATGCCACCTGGCCAAGCCCCGCAATCTTGGTTTTCTCTCGGAAAATTATGCGACTAAATTTCTCGGAGAAAAAGGTGAAAACAGGTTCACCATGGAGCTTTGGTACACCATGCCACAATCATAGCCTTACCTAGAAAAGGTTTTAATGCCCGTGGCTATGACATCACTCGACTTGTCGTTCCGTTTCGGTTCGAGTTAATTTTTTTAGAGGAAGGAGGGGAGGGGGCTCTGAAGAGGTTCCCTCTCCTCCCTCCCTGGGAAGTTGGAGTTCGATCTGCTTGTGCGACTATAACTTTTTGGGAAAGATCACATTCAGAATTAACCTTTCTAGGTTCTTGGAGTACCGTGACATGAGGTGGGGATCAAAACATTCTGAGACTGATTTTGTAGCATAAAAAGAGAGGGCAGGACGGTGGTGTGCGCGCAGCATTCAAAGGATGGGACCTTCGTGCCTCGTTATGCCAAAGGGCGTCGTTCTGTGAACATTTGGAGCTGCGCTACACAAGTTTTTGTAACCATGTTTACGGGAACAGTTGTGATTTCACCATAGACTGCAAACCAGAGCGAGAGTGAACACCTATTTTGCGTCAAACTCGGCAAATATAGAACAGAGACTTTTAAAATGATTAAGCAGGCTTATGTCAAAAAGCATTGAATTGTGCAAAAATTGAGAGCTTTAAGTGACACTCATGTTTCTAGAATGGCAAAACTTTGCTGGAAGACAAAGAGGTAGGGCGACCTTCTCCGACCTCTCTTCGACTTCAGTGACGTGCTGCCATTCTTGAAGTGCAGGTGCCACTCAGAACACCTTGTACGCCTCACTACTTTTTGACATAAGCCTTCTAAATAATCTCAAAGGTCTCTGTTCTAGATTTGCCGAGTTCGACGCAAAATTGATGTTCACTCTTGTTTTGGTTTGCAGTCTATGGTGAAATTGCCATTATGCTCGTGCACGTGGGCAAACCAACTCGTCTCGTGCAACCCCATTTGTTCACTGAGCGAAGCCCTTTCGCATAATGACGCGGGAAGGTTTCTGCCTTCGACTGCTGTGTGAGCGTCACTGTGCTCTCCTCTCCTTTAATGCTACAAAATCAGCCTCGGAACTTTTTGATTGCACCTCGTAAGTGCTTTGTTTCTGATTCACAGCATTGTTATGCTTAATTTTGTTTGACATTCAGACATGTTTCTACAGCCCTTTGTCTTGCGTTTTTTTTTTGCCCCTTACAGAATAACGCTTTAAAGTTGGGCAGCCAGAACCAATGGAATCAGCGACTATGCTTGCACGTGCCTGACATCGCAGGTATGTCTCAATTATCTCTTTATGTAGCTAAAGTTAATTTCTTCGTGTCTGTTCTGTTAGGTGAAAACTGACTGTGGATGATAACCCAGGCAAAAATCAGTCCACTTCCAGCTGGATTATGGAACTGGAAATGAGGCAGTTTAGCTGGATCCAGCTGAAATCCAGCTGGAATTCAGCTGGACTGCCTCATTTCCAGTTCCATAATCCAGCTGGAAGTGGACTGATTTTCTCCTGGGAATGAACATTTCTCTGCAACGTTCACAGCCTACAGTCAAACGCCTTTATAACGAAGTCCGTGGTGCCGGCAGAATATTTTCGTAGTACAGGTGACCTCATTGTGGCAGTTGAGCGTGAAAAATCGATGGCGCGAAACCGAGTTTGAGCTATTGCATATTGATGTATGCATGTTGATGACATTGCACATTTTTGACCACTAGACACGTACGTGACCTTCTAGTTTTACGTCTAGATTTTAACGAAGTATCGCACACAAATAATTGCTTATTGATCTTTAATAACAGTACCGAAGAGGTAAGTTATATTTCGTTTGTTTTAAGTCCGAAATGTGCTTTTACGACAAAAACTCGGGCAGCTTTACAATGCCGTCAGCCACGGTGCTGTATTTTGGGTTTTAGACACTGATCTATGGGGCTAACAGTATTGTTAAAATAGTTTATCATGTTCTTTTACAGCGATCGCAATACAAATCTCGGCTCAGGTTTGCATGAAAGCTTCAGGATTTGGTAGGGTCACGTGTCTAGTGATCGAAATTATACAAAATGGAGGCAGCCAGGTGGGGGTCACTTTTGCCTGGTGAGCGAGATACCAGTTTCTCACTCTAAGCCCCTCTACCTTGTTACTTTCTGTGCGGCTGTACTGATTTCCTGTAGACTTTTGTGTCACGGATAGAGTCACAGGTTGTTTCCTTGAGCTTGTATTATCGCTCTAAGGTGGAACAATTTGGGACTTAGACCGTGCAAGGTCTTGCTTGGAATCTTGAAACCTGATAAAGATTGGTGCGTCGGTCCAACAAATGCCAGGACAGCATAAGAAAGTTGCGGCTGCCGATGAAAATATTTTTTTTATATATACTCACATTCGCGCAGCTCCTTTCAAATGTGCTGACGTATATGCAATATAAGAAAAAGAGTGCGCGCATTGACCAGATGGAGTGTATAAAAAAAATAAACTCGTATTGGAGCGGAGTGGCGAGTGCTCAATGGTGTGAGTAAAACAAAAGCGATGAAAGCATGCACGAGCGCACGCGGTGGCATGCGACGGAGGTGTGGCACCGTGCGGCGGAGGTGTGGCACCGCTTCCGTTGCACTGCTTCTGCTGCCGACGCGCCGCACATTCTCGGTTTTGGGTTCAAATAATTTGTTAGTGTGCAAACTTGTGTCTAGATGGCACTACGTCACTACGTTGCAGCGTACAGGCTTTCTACGCAGCAACATAGCCAAGTAGCACCATCTAGACACAAGGTTACACACTAATTATTTAAACCCAAAACCAAGAACGTGCGGCGCGGTGGCAGTTCCAACGAGTGCCGCTGCTGCAGTATTTCTCTGCTCTACACTCATCACTTGAGCCACAATTTACGTGAAATCAATTACTTTCATTTAGAAAATTAGTAATACCACTCATTTTTGCTTTGTGGGGTTGCAATATTGCTTCGTTAAACACAAATATTTGTTAAACAGGAATTCGTTGTAGAGGTCAGACAAACACTTATAGGAGATTGACTGTGACTTTTATTTCACTTCATTCAACGGGCGTTTTCGTAGTACAGAGGTGTTTGGTATAAAGGCGTCTGACTGTATTTCTTTAAAACAAAGATATGAATTCATTAAAGAAGTTGATTTGCCTCAATAACGATTCTGTCATGGGAACCATTGTCGCAGCAAGAGTACCAGCATATTAAAAATAATTGTTCCTTCAATTGACCCCCTTCATGGGGGGGTGCTTACTATATGCAGTGAAAAATAAGTAATTTTATTCTGCATAAATTTTGCTTTTTGAGATTTTGTTTCAAATTTTCCCTCAAACCTCTTTATTGCAACTTAAATGATGTTGCCAGGGTACCAAATAAATGGAGCATGCATATACCGAAGGAGATCAGGCAAGGTTTACATAAGCGCTCAAGTGGACAGATGGGCAGATCTATAGTAAATGTACTACCGTAAAATACCGAGAAAGCGCCCCCCCCCCCAACTCAAGAGATAATTCAACCAAAATATGGGGGGGCCCTTCCTTGGTTCCGCACCAATATTCAAGATGGCGGATAAAGAAAATGGCAGCCACTAAAAGTATGCAATCTAGACTGCAGTCTTACCAAAAATGATTTCCGTAGACAGTTTCCTTGCGAACTTTATCCTTTTATTCGCTGTCGAAACCATCGAAGGATTCCTCAGAATCTGACCCAAAAACCAGGTCCACACACTCATCCCTCAGCTCGTCGCGGTCTTCCGGGACCACAACGCCGATGTCAGCGAGCCGATCGCTGACATCGCTGACAAAGAAGTGCTGACGGCGCGTCCAGCACTTCTTTCGCACTCAAAAAATTCAAAAAGCGCGTCGTCCACTTTCTCGCTGAAAACGGGGGCTCCGTTTCCCAACTTGCGTCGTAACTTCGACTTTCCGAAATTCTCTTGAAGAAGCACTTCATACTTCTTGTCCCATTCGCGGATTCTCTTGCGATCAAGCTTGAACTGACGCGATGTCCAATGCACGTTCTTGCCATTCAGCCTGTGCCACTGGACGACCTCTATCTTCTTTTGCACAGTGTACGAGTGCATAGCGCACGCAGTAACGCGACTGGTTCCGGCGCCGTCAAACAACAAAATGGCGAACAAAAGGTTCACGTGGTTCACGTTTACTTTTGGATTGGATTGGATCCCTGGCTACACGTAAAAACAAAACTTCCAGAACGAAACTTTTTTCGGGGCCACCGGCAGTGGAAAAAGGGGGGAGGGGGAGGGGGAGGGGGGGGGGGCGCTTACTTGGTAGTTTACGGAAATGCGAAATGTGCGGAAAAAGGGAGGGGGCGCTTACACGAGGGGGTGCGATTACGCGGTATTTTACGGTATTCATATCACTTCAACTGTTACAGTTTCTCTTTATATTTGTGTCTAACCAATTCTTTGGGACAAGGAGTAACGGCAGAGAAAAAAAAAAAATTGGCAGCAACCTTTTCCTTCAAAGTACTATAATGCTTGAAATGCATTATAGGGAATTCGTGAGGGATCCAGTTTTCCCTCTAAATTTAGCGGGGAAACTGAATGGTTGTATAGGTGGCGTGACGTCGATTTGCCCTGCTCACTAAATTTAGTGGGTTACTGAATTGGTGTGCAAGTCACATGACGTCAATTTACCCATAAATTTTACGGGGAAACTTAATTGATGTTTTCGCAACAAAACATGAATTTTCCCACTAAATTTAGTGGGGAAACTGAGTTGACGTATAGGTTATGTGCTGTCAATTTCCACAAAGTGCATAGGTCACTTGACGTCAGGTGATGTAACGTGACGCCACTTTCCCCGCTAAATTTAGCGGAAAATGCACGGACGGACAGACAGACGGACGAAATATTGAGATTGGGGGTTAGCGTTAAAAAGCATTTCATGCTTTAATTCATCAGCTTTCTTTCGTTGTGTTTACTCTAGTTCCTCGAAAACATGGCCAACCTTTTTATGATGAAAGCTCACATATGCGGTTTCTTTTGGTGCTTGTGTAGTGGCGATCATAGGGATTTACTGGACGAAATCAGCGAGTGACGCGGCAGCGATATTGTTTAAGCTTCACAATGCAATCTGTGCTAACGTGCCGAGCATGGGAACGTCATGCTCAGCATTCGAATGCAGGTCGCTTCTTTTAATCTAATTGTTATATTTCTTTCTCGCGGTTTATCGCTCTTCTGTAAATACCAGTCGTTGACCTCTAAATGCTCTCCCAGCTTTTATAGGTTCCTGACGGAGGAAATGGGGAACCCAGTTTATAACGGTAACAAATAGGTTTGCCCTTTCAAACCGAGTATGAGAAAGGCATGATCATGAATGGATGTAGACCCTGCTGACACCTTTTCGAAAGCTGCAAGCTCATGGTCATGCCTTTCTAAGATGTGTGATTTACATGAGCATATGCGTGGCAAAACATAGCTCTTATCGCATCTTGCAAATCAGACTCGTTATTGCGAGGAATGCATTAAGGGGGGACACTACCCAGAAAAAACAATTTCTGCAAAAAAACGTTGATATTGAAAAATGTCATATTTACATCCACCAACATCTAGAGAGTATTGCCAGAAAGTTTCATTAGTTTACACTGCATAGTTAATTTTTTATAAATTATTTTCGGTCCACTGATGCTAAAGAAAAGGTAGAGGTTGGAGCACTTTGAACGCATTTTTCTCCATTCCACTTTTTAGCATAAATTTCACTTTAGGAAAACTATTGTTTTGTTATTACGCAACTTGGATTAATTTTTATGAGTGTTTCTGGGGTGAAATTTTAAGGGGAAGATAACTATGAGCTTGTATTTTTTATTTTTGTCATTTTTCATGCTCAAGAACTAAAAGTTTGGACAAAGGATGGAAATCTAAAAAACTGTATTTGTGTTTATGTGGCTTTTTTGTCATGAAAAATGGTATAACATAGAAATATAGCTCCATAGTTATCTGCTCTGAACTGTCCTAATGCAATGTAACACCTGAAAACAACAAATTTATAAGTAATTTCAAATTGATAGTTTTCCTAAGCAGACACGCCCACTTTCGTCTTTGAACGTTTGCAATTTTTTTTGTACTTCACCCAGGTTAACAAAAATTGGCAGAAATGTTATCAACATCAACAGAAACAAGCCCTGTAAATATAATTTAAATCAGACAAGTGGTTCAAAAATTTACTTTTTTGGGTAGTGTCCCCCCTTAAAAAAGCTTTCTCGGAATACTTTCTTTGTTTCACTCAATTGAATCGGTGCCTTGAAAATAAAAATATTTGTAAGTCATAGCAGTAATGTTCTGAAGTTCATGTGCTTACGAAGCTGTTTGATCCCGCAGTGAACCGGCTAAGTGGCAACGACTCTAGCTTCACAGGAGTGGAGTCAGAATCTTCTAGCATTGTCAGCAGCAGCGATCTTCCCAACGAGAGGTACTGTCTTTGAATGCTAATTATTCTTTTTGGTTTGCAGACATTTTAGATTTATACACCCTATAAATGTGTATAAGGGCCAAACTTTATTTTCTTGAATGTCGGGGTTCATTTTTTAGGTACGGCCCATACACAGATGAGAACAAGATAATTTTGAATCTGCATAAAAGACTGGATGTATTCTTGCAATTGCACACAGTGATCTATAGTGCCTCTATTAAGGTGAAAGCCTTAAGTACAAAACAACCGTGTTGGTAACAGTAATTAAACATGAGGAAGATACACATAAGGGGGGACGGACAGCTTATATGTATCTTCCTTATGTTTAATTACTGAAGGCCTTATATGTCTCATCATTCAGTTGACCTGCAAAGTCCTTTAGGAAACCATGTCGGCGACACGAGAGGTACCAAAACCCATGGTTCGCCACTGGACCACAATATGGCGTTACTTGTGCCAGAATCGGCAGAGGCACACACGCGGCGCAAACCCAGCGGGAGAGGAGGACACTCTCACTCGGGCAGCGGTGAAGAGCGGGCGTGCAACATGATGTGAAATTAACGGCGCCAAAAGTGCTTCGTAGGAGAGCGCACTGTCTTCGGAGGTTCGCTATCACCGGGATCAGCACTTAGGCTTTTGCCTTCAAGTCGTCTTAGGGATAACATAAGAGACCCTGTGAATTTTTTTGTCCTAGAATCATTGTAACCTGCAGTATTCTTGGCACTCGGGTCTGACCGGCATCAACAGTAGCCAGAGTTGCTTTTTGAGCCGTCCAGTAAGCGCCTTTCAGGGTTTGCGTTTCCCATTTAATTTGTAGAATTTCACCTTGCCGTCTGTTTCGATACCGACGTCGAGCAGCTGCAGTTTACCATGAGCCTAACTTGAACTGCACGCTTTGTCTGGCATTACATGCAGATCTTGTCGGCACCGTATTCGCGACTTGCTGCACGTCTGCCGCACTCCAAGGCATACGTGACAGTCCAAAAGTACTTTCCCACTGCTCTCAGGTTATGAGACCCGCATAGACCAACTTATCAGAAGAAAAATTTTACGTAGCCTAACTGACCGCGTTCGGCAATCCAAGCAACCAATTTCATGGCAGCAGATTGGTGGAAGTGTCCGGTTTCACTGCGCTTATGGGCGGAATGTGACTGTTGGTGATACGACAACCATAAAAAGGACAACTCTCCAAAGTTTTACTCCTGTAATCTCTCCTATCTGAGTTTCATAACACGGCAAAAAGTGTGAGCAGGAGCGCGTACATGGCGGGGTAGAGATGGCGGAGATGCAAAGCGCGTGCCACAGTGCGGAAGCAGTCGGCGTGCCTCGAATAATCATTGGAACATTTATCACATACTTTTGGGGACCGTTACACGCAGCAGTTTTTCGTTGGTTCGGTGAATTTAAGTGTGGCTACATCTCCGAAACACGATAAGCATGCTAGCCAGCCGTTGATGGCTGTGACTGAAGAAAATGTTGCTGTTGTGGAGAAAGTTAGAGAGGATCCCCAGTTGGCTTAAGGTGATATTAGGATGCATGATGATTAGTTCTTTGTGTGTTTCAGCGATTCTTCGTGACCACTTTCGCTTGAGTAACAGTTTTATCTCGCTGTTGCACAATTTAGCATAAGCCGGAAAGCTGGCACAGGTGGAATGGCGACATGAGGTGCTTCATGGTTCTAAAGTGGCGACTCCAGTGGTGTAGCCAATATTGTGATGGGTGATGAAACCAGAATCCCCGAGTATGATCCCAAAACAAAGCACCAGTCATTCATTCGGGCCTTGTTTGGAAGACTTTGCCACTGAAGGTCAGGTGCTAAGAAGTGTCGGAAAGAGAATGGTGGCAACATTTTCCTCAAGCAGTGGGCATGTGGCCCTGTTTGCTTTGGAAAACCCATGCATGGGGGACTGCAGAATGGTGGTTTATATTTTGCCTGCCAACAGTATTCAAGAAAATCCAGGAGAGACAACCAAGATTTGACTTGAGTGGAATCTTGCGGCAAGAAGGCAATGCATAGTCTCACTCTGCCAACATGACACTCAGCCTCCTCATAGGAGGCACTCCAGTAAAGTTGGTCTGCTATCTGCCTACAGTACAGACCTTGCTCCATGGGTCTTTTTCCCTTTCTCAGTGGGGATAGAAAAATTGTGCGGACAGCGATTTTCAACCTCTGAAGATGCTGTTGCAGCCTACCAAGACCACTTAAATGCAGTGTATGATACCTTGTGGTGCCAGTGCTTCCGTTATTGGTTTAGATACTTTAAAAAGATGGGTCGTTGTATGCAATTTCGGTTCGGAGAGAATACCTCGAAAAGATGTACCGTGAAATCCTTTGCGGGATTTTACGGTACATTGGTACATCAAAATGAAAAAATAAATTATGAAAAACATAAGGTTGGCTATTTTTGGAGATGAGACAGCAAAACTTGATCAAAAATTAACGATAAACACAGGGGCACCCACCATGACCTTGAAGCAGTTCAAACCGAGTGGTCCAATACATTTCTGCTTTTTGCGATTATACAGCCAGTGTCTCTTCCATGAAAATGAGCCTGGATTTATCTGCTCTCGAGGCACGCCGCGAGGTAGCACAGCTTTGCTTGTTTCATAAGCTTTATCATCGTCATCCCGCCGTTAGAAGCTCATTCTTGCTTAATCCCACACTGTCATCTCGTCGCCTCAATATCTCTCGCAATTTCCAACACATATCCGGTTCAAGTTACGCTTTTAACAAATCATTCCTACCACTAACAATTGGGGACTAGAACGGTCTTCCAGAATTTTTCGTGTTAATCACTGACCCTGCGGTTTTTAAAAGCTCCATCATCTTGCATTTTCGCTCTACTGATTAGCTTTCCAGTGTTGCTACTTTTGAGTTTTTGTTCGTGGTAGTGTGTGCTGTTTCTGTTCTTTTGTCGTTTGGGTTTCCAAAATTTAATTTAATAATTTCTTGCGTGGCCCCCTCCCTTTTTTTGTAATGGCCTCACACGAGGGCCCTTCAGGAAAAAATAAATGATATGAAATAAATGAACTGATACCCCAGATTGCGGACTAAGGAAATTCACGTTTCACAACGCGATAAACATGCTGCAGTTCGCTACAAACTCCTGTGTCATGGGAAAGGATACAGCAGACTGCGTATGCAACAGATTCGTGCTTCACGGTGTAATAAATACACAGAAATCGGCTGCGAACTTCCATGCCATGGGATCCGATATTGCGTGCGCAGATCGCGGACAAAAACGCAGGAACCCGCTGCGAACTCACTTGTCACACGTACCGGTACCGAAGATCGCGCAGTTGTTGCGATTCCTGTTGGACATTGCGTGATGTCCGATGAAAATCGGGGGGTGGGCGATTTTCTGGAATTTTGGTGTTGTGGAAATTTACTTTTAGCCAGAAAAACAGGATGGGTGATATCTCGGGAGGAGGATGCCCTTATGGGATTTGACGTTAATGACTGGAAGAAAAATATGTTCAATTAGTGACGTGTGTCTCAAGACGTTTCTAGTAAACCGCATATTAACTGCTTATAATCTTTGTTTGGTTTGTACTGAGTAAAAGCGTTACTTGGTTCGGCAACAGCATTGCAGTTGCGTGTCCAAGGTGGTAGACACGCTAAAATGCATCTTGGGTTTTAGTATGTCTACCCTCTCTGGCATGTAACATTGCATTTTACCATGGAAATGAATAGCATAAAATTTGCCATTAATGTACTTTTTGTAGAAGCTTGCTTTTGGTGGCATGTTGTTTGTCGGGCTTTAGTCAATAAAAATGACCAGTTCTAGATTAGCAAGACGTCCTAGTATACTCACAGCAACAGAAATACACAGGCACTATTTTCTCCTGGGGAAGTCGCCCCTGGGTCCCCACCACCTACATTAAATTTGACCAATGAGAATATTTAATTTCACGGAGATTCCGAACGTTGCTATTATTGCTCTTTTTAGGCATGTTTTGCATTATATTAACAGCAAATCTTTGTGTGCAGGGGATGTAATAGAGAAATTATTGTTTCAAAACTCCCTCCGACGGCGCCTCCAAGACGTGGAAAAAGGGCGTGTCACAATCTTTGATTAGATTTTTAATAGTAAAATCTGCCGACCATGAGTGTAATTTCAAGGATTTTTAGGATGTTTGAGCCCGTAGATTGAGTTATCACCATAAGTGGATTCTGTTTAGTATTTCTATTGTATTCTATTTAGTATTTCAAAATTCAGAATAGTTATTGTGAAATCAGCAAGTGAAAATTACACCCAAACCGACATTCAAATATACCCATACTTCTCAGTGTTGTGACGTCAGGGGAAGGCAGGCTTGGAAGTCGAGCGGGCAGTCTAGAAATGGACTATGCCGAGCATTTGTTTTCATGCTGCTGTTTGGGTACTGGAGCGACCTTCCAAAGCATTGATTTGACACCATGAAACTGCTTTTAATCAGTTGGGATCAAAGTCTACAATCCAATTAGTGAGCCACTGCCTTCCCCTGATGTCACTTTTTGTTGCTGCCAGTATAGACTTTCACTTTGAAAAATGCTGTAGAGGGCCAAAACTGAAAATTCATTACCTTGTTATAAAAACTCTTTTTGGCCCAATATTTGGGTTACTTTTTCAGCGAGGCTTGTTGTTGTGTCTAGCAAATTTTCAGACAAATCAGAAGCTATGAAGAAAATGCCGGAGTACCCTTTTAAGCTTACAATAGAAAGCAACCGTTCGAGTTGACGTCTGTCGCAATCTCTGCCACACGCTTCGCTCGAGCCCGTAGGCCCCGACTACGAGAGAACTCGAGCCCCCACTTCCCCACCCCGAAATTTCCCGGGAGGGGCAGAGCAAACCCCTGCAATGCCGAGCATCCCCCCCCCCCACCCACCCTAATCCATCCAGGAGCTCCTTGGGAAAGCAAGTAACCTCTCTTCAAGGGCCTCTGGTTGCATTAAGACGAGTTTGTTGGATTTTAAATTTTTGCCCGGGAAATTGAAAACTTTCCGCCTATGCTCGAGC